CTATACCATGACTTTTTTATGACTTTTTATGCCATACTATACTATGACTTTTTTATGACATTTTATGCCTTACTATACTATGACATTTTTATGACTTTTTATGCCTTACTATACCATGACTTTTTTATGACTTTTTATGCCATACTATACTATGACTTTTTTATGACATTTTATGCCTTACTATACTATGACATTTTTATGACTTTTTATGCCTTACTATACCATGACTTTTTTATGACTTTTTATGCCATACTATACTATGACTTTTTTATGACATTTTATGCCTTACTATACTATGACATTTTTATGACTTTTTATGCCTTACTATACCATGACTTTTTTATGACTTTTTATGCCATACTATACTATGACTTTTTTATGACATTTTATGCCTTACTATACTATGACATTTTTATGACTTTTTATGCCTTACTATACCATGACTTTTTTATGACTTTTTATGCCATACTATACTATGACTTTTTTATGACATTTTATGCCTTACTATACTATGACATTTTTATGACTTTTTATGCCTTACTATACCATGACTTTTTTATGACTTTTTATGCCATACTATACTATGACTTTTTTATGACATTTTATGCCTTACTATACTATGACATTTTTATGACTTTTTATGCCTTACTATACCATGACTTTTTTATGACTTTTTATGCCATACTATACTATGACTTTTTTATGACATTTTATGCCTTACTATACTATGACATTTTTATGACTTTTTATGCCTTACTATACCATGACTTTTTTATGACTTTTTATGCCATACTATACTATGACTTTTTTATGACATTTTATGCCTTACTATACTATGACATTTTTATGACTTTTTATGCCTTACTATACCATGACTTTTTTATGACTTTTTATGCCATACTATACTATGACTTTTTTATGACATTTTATGCCTTACTATACTATGACATTTTTATGACTTTTTATGCCTTACTATACCATGACTTTTTTATGACTTTTTATGCCATACTATACTATGACTTTTTTATGACATTTTATGCCTTACTATACTATGACATTTTTATGACTTTTTATGCCTTACTATACCATGACTTTTTTATGACTTTTTATGCCATACTATACTATGACTTTTTTATGACATTTTATGCCTTACTATACTATGACATTTTTATGACTTTTTATGCCTTACTATACCATGACTTTTTTATGACTTTTTATGCCATACTATACTATGACTTTTTTATGACATTTTATGCCTTACTATACTATGACATTTTTATGACTTTTTATGCCTTACTATACCATGACTTTTTTATGACTTTTTATGCCATACTATACTATGACTTTTTTATGACATTTTATGCCTTACTATACTATGACATTTTTATGACTTTTTATGCCTTACTATACCATGACTTTTTTATGACTTTTTATGCCATACTATACTATGACTTTTTTATGACATTTTATGCCTTACTATACTATGACATTTTTATGACTTTTTATGCCTTACTATACCATGACTTTTTTATGACTTTTTATGCCATACTATACTATGACTTTTTTATGACATTTTATGCCTTACTATACTATGACATTTTTATGACTTTTTATGCCTTAGTATACTATGACTTTTTTATGACTCTTTGCCATACTATACTATGACTTTTTTATGACATTTTATGCCTTACTATACTATGACATTTTTATGACTTTTTATGCCTTACTGTACATTGACTTTTTTATGACTTTTTACGCCTTACTATACTATGACTTTTTATGCCTTAATATACTATGCAGTTTTTAGCACTTTTTATGCCTTACTATACTATGACATTTTTATGACTTTTTATGCCTTACTATACTATGACTTTTTTATGACTTTTTATGCCTTAGTATACTATGCAGTTTTTAGCACTTTATATGCCTTACTATACCATGACTTTTTATGACTTTTTATGCCTTACTATACAATGACTTTTCATATGACTTTTTATGCCTTAGTATACTATGACATTTTTAAGCCTTTTTATGCCTTAGTATACTATGCAGCTTTTAGCACTTTTATGCCTTACTATACTATGACTTTTTTATGACTTTTTATGCCTTACTATACTATGACGTTTTTATGACTTTTTATGCCTTACTATACTATGACTTTTTTATGACTTTTTATGCCTCACTATACTATGACTTTTTATGCCTTACTATACTATGACTTTTTTATGACTTTTTATGCCTTACTATACTATGACATTTTTATGACTTTTTATGCCTTACTATACTATGACTTTTTATGTCTTAGTATACTATGCAGTTTATAGCACTTTTTATGCCTTACTATACTATGCAGTTTTTAGCACTTTTTATGCCTTACTATACTATGACATTTTTATTACTTTTTATGCCTTATAATACTATGACTTTTTATGCCTTAGTATACTATGCAGTTTTTAGCACTTTATATGCCTAACTATACTATGACATTTTTATGACTTTTTATGCCTTACAATACTATGACTTTTTATGCCTTAGTATACTATGCAGTTTTTATGACTTTTTATGCCTTACTATACTATGACTTTTTTATGACTTTTTATGCCTTACTATACTATGACTTTTTTATGACTTTTTATGCCTCACTATACTATGACTTTTTATGCCTTACTATACTATGACTTTTTTATGACTTTTTATGCCTTACTATACTATGACTTTTTTATGACTTTTTATGCCTCACTATACTATGACTTTTTATGCCTTACTATACTATGACTTTTTTATGACTTTTGATGCCTTACTATACTATGACATTTTTATGACTTTTTATGCCTTACTATACTATGACCCTTTTATGCCTTACTATACTATGCAATTTTTAGCACTTTTTATGCCTTAATATACTATGCAGTTTTTATGACTTCTTATGCCTTACTGTACATTGACTTTTTTTATGACTTTTTATGCCTCACTATACTATGACTTTTTATGCCTTACTATACTATGACTTTTTTATGACTTTTTATGCCTTACTATACTATGACATTTTTATGACTTTTTATGCCTTAATATGCAGTTTTTAGCACTTTTTATGCCTTACTATACTATGATTTTTTAATGACTTTTTATGCCTTACAATAGTATGACGTTTTATGTCTTAGTGTACTATGCAGTTTTCATGACTTTTCATGCCTTAGTATACTATGTGGTTTTCATGAGTTTTCATGCCTTAGTATACTATGTGGTTTTTATGACTTTTTATGCCTCACTATACTATGACTTTTTATCCCTCAGTATACTATGTGGTTTCTATGACTTTTTATGACTGTTTAAGCCTGAGTATAATATGACGGTTTTATGACTTTTGTTGCATTACTATACAGTGACGTTTTTCTGCCCTACTATATAATGACGATTTTACGACTTTTTATGCCTTAGTACACTATGACTTATGAAATATGACATATATGTCCTTTTTTTATGATTGATAATACCATACGTGTCACCTATAAGAGAAATATATAATTATGACATATATACATCCTCTGGATACATCAAAAAGCTCATATATGATATACTCTAATTAAAATGTAACTTTATTAAAACAAATTTTTTTATTGAAAATACTATATGTTACTATATGATTTTCATAACAATTTTTTGTTAATTTGAAACATACATGTTTATCTTTTATATTTACATTTATTAAAGGTGTGACTTTACTTCTTATATATATATCCTACATATATTTCATATATGGATTTGGTTGATGGCATTAAAAAGCCAATTAAATTTTTTTGTTTTGGAGGGGTAGCGGCGATGTTGTGTTCCTACCAATGTTGAGCCCAAACCTACACCCTTGATTTGATTGACTGAAGCGTTATAAGAAAAACAAAAGCCTGTCCAGACTTTTCCATCCATAAACAAACTGTTTGAAAAATGAAAAATGAGAAACTCAAGTCCTCATGTTAATTTTTTTCAGAACATGTTCCAGCAGATGTGGATGTTGTCCCATAATGAACAGACTCTCCTTTACCTGAGTCTGGTTTGATCCAACCAGCTGGACACAGCTGATGAGCTCAGGGGCTGGATTTTCTCTTTTTGTTTGTTTTGTTGTAGTTGGACCAGAGGCCACATCCACTTTGACTTAATATGATTCAGTTTGCTTAGTTTTTTCATTTTTTTATCCTGTGTACAGATTTTATTATTTTGGCTAATTTATAGTATTAATAGTATTATTCCTGTTCTAATACCCTCCGACCTTTTTTCTTTCCCTCTCCTTCTTGTATTTCCAAAGTGTTGGTAGTTGCAGAGGGAAAACCAGACACTGATTAAACTACATGAATTCCTCTTCTTGGTGAAAGCTTGGTGTGAAGGCTTCATGTGGAATGAGAACATCAGCATGGATGCTTTTCCCTGATAGACTGGATGTCACAGTCCCACCCAGGTCAGAAGACTCTCCACTGTACGGCTTAGGTACAAACATGTCTGTAAATATTTGCAGATTTTCCTTTAGCTAGTTGCAAGACTCTATAGCCATAAAAGAAAACTAGAATTACCGCCTTGCGGTTGTATGCCTCCATCACTCAGTTTCAGATTACATCCCTGTTTATCCAGCTGACCTCCGACCACCAAAATCTAATCAATTCATCCTTGGGGGCAAATGAACATGAAGGGAGGTCACAGTGACACTGACCTTTAACCACCAAAATGTAATCAGTTCATCCTTGAGTCCAAGTGAATGTTTCTGCAAAATTTGAAGAAATTCCCTCAAGGCATTACCGAGATATCACGTTCACAAGAATGGGACCTGAAAACATAATACCTACGGCCATGGCTGCAGCTAAATTCCAGTTGACAGTAATCCAAGGGCAGGAGGGCAGGAGGTCAGGGCTCTGTGCAGACCAATTAAGCTCTTCCACACCAAACTGGTTTATGGAACTGACTTTGGGGTTTTAATGCGTTGTATTCCCGGCGCAAGCACACAAAAGTATGTGAACAACGGTTCAATCATTTCTTTATTCTTGTAAAATCTCCTGAGTTGGTGTCTGGAGAAAATTCAACTGATCACAAAGGTTTAAAATAAAAAAGAGAAGATCACTCAGACTTCCTACCAAATAAAATTTAATGTCTAAAGAGTTGTCAACATAACAGAAAACATGTGGGAGAAGCTACTTTCAGTCTAAGAGACAAAACACTCCATGGCAGCACATCTTGTCAGTAACATCACTCCAATATTTGGCTTTGAACTAGAGGTGATGAAATGATTTTTTTTTTGTTGAAATTACAAAAATGAAAGCTGGAAAATAGAAATAAAGTTTAATATGTTACATGTCCTCTACCCCCTTCAAAAACTAAAACAAATCTCTTAATATTTTCCCAAAGAATATTTTTTCAGTCCACCTGCACTTCTCCTTTTAATCCAGCAGAGGGCAGACAGTGCACATGTTATGCTTCATACAAGTCACCGCCTGGTTGCCAAATTAAAAATGTACAATCCACCTTCAACATTTTACCAGCAACATTTTGGAATAGAAAAAAAAAAAAATCTCAGAATGATGCTGATAATCTGTTTATGTTCCTCAAAAAGCACAAAAACCTTAAACCATGTTTACCAGCATCTGGCAGCTATGTGGTGTTAACCTCTCCCTCCCCTGCTCCCTCACATGCATTAGCTACATATATACTACATCTTCACAACCTTCAAAGCCACAATAAAACACATTAATTCATATACACGGCCTCGGCAAGAACACAGGTACAGATAATCCAGGCCGTTCTCCGTCATTCAGGAACTGTGAATTATACAGGGCTATTTTGATTTTCATAAAATGGCTAAATAAATACGAGCCTCTCACAGATTAAACCAGATTATGTTTTGATATTTTACAACCGAAATAACTGGTTCACTTATGTTTTCACAGTGTCTCCCAAGGTAGAATCTCATTTTAACTCAAGGAACATTTTGAATGTAAACTGAAAAAAAATGAGGAAAAAAAAAAAACGCACAAGAGACATTTTAAGTGCAAATTCAAAAGAACCTATTACTTAATTTGTAAGATATAAAATGTTTCAGAATCTTATATTATTCTTTGTTTTCTAAAACAGTCTCATTTTTTCACTATTTAGTCTATACGATGTATGTGATTCTAAAGCTTTTAAGACATAACTTTAGAGTAAAAATGAACCACTCCAGGCCAATGATATAACCAATAATCAACAGCCTGAGTGTTTCTCAAAAATGAAAACCTGTACAAAAGAACTGCTTTGAATGCTAATGCTTTGAATGCTGATGGTTTAAAACTTCATAGATTTCCTATCCTGTTAATAAAAGCTCCAGATTTCCGATGATCTTTCAGATAAAAAGATAACAGTATAAGGTAATATAATAACATCTGCTCCCAAAAGAGATAAAACTGAAGCGCAAATGTAGTATTCAGGTTGATCTGTTGGTGCCAATGGGGGAATGTTCAACAAAATGTGAGGAGTGCTTGAGGTGATTATCTGTTGTATAAGGGCAAAATTTCTAACCCACATGACTTGGCTTCCTGCAGTGTTATTTGATTCATTTAACTCGAACCGGAAACTCACAGTGGCCAGGGTTGCTAATAATTTTCGGTGAGATCACAACTTGAGCTGTTCATCACTTTTAATGGGTGCAGCCAAGTGCAACACCACAAATGCCTTCGAGGAAATTAAGTGTGTGCCCCTGTTTGTAAGATGAATTGCATTAAGACACACAAAAGACAGAATCCTTGGAGAAGGAGATGGGAGAGGCAGTGGGAGGCACTTTCTTCAAGTGTGGCCATTTGAAACATGTATAAGCCCTTTAGCCTTTAGATGGGGTCAGACAACACCTCGTACAGCCTGGTTCAGGTTGATGTGAATACTGATGATAACTTGAGAAGATAACTTGTCAGGGACCTGGACATTTCTAAACAGGGAGAAAAAAGGTCCAAAAATCCCCAAATAAAATATGAAAAAACATTAGATGTAGCGGTTTGTTGTCTTAAGATAATCAAGTAGTGGAGATAATGGACCTGAAAAATTATTAGCAACCTTAGCTCCCATGGATAACAGTGCAGAAACCCTGTCTTGAAATATGACCGACACTTTCTGAACATAATCTAAAGTCAGATAAAACAGAGAAAAAAGAAGACAATACATAATACTTCTCTGGTATATTGTTACTCTGAAAGTTGATACAATAAAGTCAAAAACTGCTATGATCGGTGCAAATGCTGAGCAGTACAACAGGAAATTTACTCATTGTGCAAAAAAAAAATAAAACTCAAAACTAATGAAAATGACTGACATGGTGGGTGAACCGATGAAGGCAACGAAAAGAAAAACATGAGTATTGTAAAAAGTTGGCATGCAGTTGAAGCGTCACACAGTAAGGCAACTGAGCATCTCGGGTTTGGCTTCCCCTGCCTGAAAGCTCCGCACATATACTGCTGAACAAAGATGTTCATCTCGTTGTGTGTTCTCAAAACAGAACAAGAAAAACAAGTGTGTTACCGTTAATGAGCATTCGGTGTTTTGGCAGTTACTTCTGTATTCATCAGCCGCAGCTGAGCTCAGAGAAGGTTTTGTAGAATATTGTAAAAGGGCTGAGGTTTACAGCACATGCTGGCAAACACATCGTCTTTAATATGAGGACGCTGAAGTGAAACCTGTGTATCACTGCCAGCTTGCGCAATCGTCCCTTGTACACGTTAAGATTTTGAAACAAACAGCTGAAAACATACTGGTAGGATCTATTCATTCAAACTATGGTTGTACTGATCGTCATGGAACATGTGAGCAGCTCCGTGCACCTTGAGGAGATTCTGACATCGTTGCTGGAGTGTCTCAGAAGATTCTTTTTTTTTTTTTTTTTTTTACGTTTATCCATCAAAATGTCTGCTCCTATTCTGAGGCTAAGCAATAAGTAACTTCAAAGGGAACCTCTTTAAAACTGAAGCTCGTTTTTTTTTTTCTCTCTCATTAATATCAATGTCCTCTATCATGCACAGTTTGTCCTATTAAGCTAAACATTCATGAGTTCATACACCCCCCTCAAAACTTCAAGAAGACAAGCCACAGTATACAAAACACATAGGAAAACAACAGAAATCATCAACTTGACAGCTAACATAGCTTATAATCAGTCTAAGGCAAAACAAAACAAAACAAAAAAAGAAACAAGTAGTGGGTTGGTGAAATTAGGAGCTTTCTGACAACATACTGTGCATGCTCTCACTCTGCGGACCAAAGTCCTGTAGTCCATGCTGTAGCCTCGGTGGAAAAAACTCTCTGCACTCCTGCATGGCCTGATTCCTACGTTGGGATCTAAAAGGATGTCCGGTGGGGAGCTTTACACTCTGAAGCTCTCTCCTTTGCCGTCAATGTGGCGCAGACGCAGGTAGACGTCCGTGCCAATGCCCTGCATAGACTGTATGGACAGAGAGCCGCCCAGGTACTCAGCATAGGCCCGGGACGTGGGCAAGCCGAAGCCGAACCTGCCGGACAGACGGACACAGACAGCAGGTTTAAGATGGCATCGAAGCAAGTGATACCTGCGCTGCACTGATAACTGATTCACGCTTCGCTGAACATGATCTGTTGTTAGCAAAAACATGGATACAAGTGGAGATGAAGGGGTGAACGAGTGCCACGCAGGACTGGGAAATGCCACCTGCGGGTCAATACGGGTGGTCATGGGATCCATGATAATGCCAAGGATGTCATGATTTGATTAAGTCCAAATCTCCACTCTCACTGCGTCTATAAATTAGAAAATGTGCATTTCCTTGTACCAAACTGCATTTACACTTAACCACCAAGACGCATTAGAAACAGAGAGAAACTCCACTGCTCAGCAACATTACCACCACCCTGGGTTGTACCAGGTTTGACCTGGGTTTTTATGCACGTAGCCCAGGAAAACAGATGCAACTAGGTTAGTGATCTGGCTGTACGTGTGTGGACAAGTATAAAGGCCTGTGGCATGATTGTTACACATTTCACAGATGTGGTCGAGACGCAACGGCTGAGCAATAATTTCAATAAGCCAAAAGTCTGACTCATACGAACGAATACGTGACAGAGGAAAGTGTAACTTGTTACACCATTTGTCCATTTGGTGTCTTGATGGTGGTGGAGGACAGCGCTCTCTCACACATTCCTCCAAAGTCAACCACCACTGTTAGATCAGGTTTAAATCTGGTTATTGATTCATAATATTTTCATACGCAAACCATTCACTGAGCCCTCGTTCGTTATAAAGGAGCAGTTCTTATGTTTTATATTTTATATTATCTTTTCATTTGTCATCCGTCTGTATGTGTAAATGACACCTGTATCGTGTGTTCAGCCATATTGAAACACTTGAAAGTGACAGATCAAAGCTTCAGAAGAAGAGACTTTTACCAGAAGGAGATGGTTTTGAATGTTTTGATAAAAACCACTTCAGGCACATTAAGAGCGAGTTTCTTCTATTTCCTCTGGTAAATACTGAACAAAGACATTTTCACATTCTTACCCATGCATAGGGCTGGACTGGTTTCCGCTGTTGGTAATGTTGTTGAAGAGGTTGCTCATGCGCGGATCCTGTGCACTCTCCTCAGCCGTGCTGAAGTGGTAGTCCATCACCTTGTCTATTATATTGTGAGGGATGCCGCCGCCACGGTCTGAAATCCTGAAAGGAAAAGAAGCTTTGAGCACAACAATAACTCCACCACTGTAATGTCCTTTTCTTTGATTTCAACGCTGCTCTGTTTAAACCACTCCAAAAAACAGTTGTATTATGTTTGTCACAATTTGAATCCTGTTCATTTAAGGCTCTAAAATTCACTAAATATTGCTGCAGTTGTTCATAAAACCAGTCGGAGTTCAACTGACATTTAATCACTCACCTGATGACAAAATCAATGTCATTATTGGCAATGGTGACGACCACATCAGGCACATTGTATGGGGTGTCCAGGTGGCTTTCCATGGTGGCCCTGAAGAGACAAATAGATGGACGTAACGGAGAGTAAAATGCTGAGTTTGCAAATTCTTTTAGACATTTCAACTATGGCATGTTGTATTTTCATTTCGCTGTCGACTATAATTAGTCACATTGCTGACAATGTGACTAATTACAGTTGATGAATGAACCCTCAGTTCTTCAGAGTTTGGCCCAAACTGTGTCTGTGTTCAGTTTTCACTAAACAAAAAGGACCTGTGATGCTGACGTGTGTGCAAGCTGGAATCTTCATCAGTCTCTAAACTAATTACAATCTAAATCACAAGAGCCTGCGAACGACCTCGTCTCTTCTGCGTCTGTCCTCTAAACCGCTAAACAAGATGAATGATGGGAATGTGGCAACATGCAGCTGCTGCCAAAAACTCTCCCAGCTCTGATCACAGGACTCGCTCAAAACAGGAAACAGAATGCAAAATGAAAACTACTGCTCATCATCAGCAGGCGAAGACAGAACAACACCGATGTTTATAATGGAGATTATATTTTACTGTTGGATAATTCTGGAGAGAAAAAGACTCACTCCATTTTACTGATTCACATTTGTCAGTTTGCTATTTGCATGTTAAAGTAAGTCGATTTGTAGCCGCATTCTGATTGAATGAGATGAGATGCTTATGCTTGTATTCGAAAGTGTTTCTACTCCACACATCTTGAACTCCTGGGGTTTGTAGTTCCTATAAAACACCAGTGATGCAAGATGATACTCTAAGAAAGTTCAGATATTCCAAAAATCTTAAAGAATTTGGAGAAATTGTTTCCATCTTTGCCCTTGGAGACTAACTTAACGCCAGGCTGAAGCAGTGTTTGGCCTTTTACCTGACCATACCCAGCCTCACAGAAGTGTGCTCTGTGTAGTTAAACCGCTGGAGGTCAGCAAAGGTAAGACTTTCAGCGCGGTGTCATGTTACTGTTTAAAAAGGAACAGAGAGTCAAGCTGGAGATGAGTAATTGCTGGTAAGGTCACCTCATGGCGTTCTTGAGGAGCTCGGGCAGGATGTAATCCAGCGGCAGAGGGATGAAGGGGAAGCGAGCTGCCACGTGTCCGTTGATCCTCACTCTGGGCGAGTTGCCGTACTGGTGCTCACACAGGCGTCTGGTGGAGAAGAGGAACGTGTGACAAACTGTTCCACACAGGTCGTGTTCACTCAATCCCTTTTTCTCTGGATCGCATCGATTTTACAGGTATTCCTGCTGTTGTACACTTCCCTTGTTCATGTTCATCCAATCTCAGTACAGCTAAGGCTGATGGGAATGTCATTAGTGTTGCAGTGATTTGGTCATAAACCCAAGTACTGCACAAATTAAATACTTGACAGTGCCAGATAAAAAAAGAGAGAAACTTTAGTTAATCTTAGCTATGTCAGAGATGTGTTGATGCAAACGTATTGTGCTAATTTCACTGCCCCAAACAATAACAACAGATAAATCCATTATTTCCATGCTGTTCACTGATTATTAGTCCACACACAGCAGCAACTTTCTTTGTGAACTTTCTTTTGAACTCAGTAAAAGTCACTGACTCCCAAAAGGGCATGTGATAAGATTACAAAAGGTAAACACCAATGATAGCTCGTATCTCAGTCACAGCTGTAGGTGCTAAAACCTGTATGTTCCTGAGTCTATCAGATGAACTCTGACTTCCCTCAGTCAACAGAGCGCTCAGACAGAAAGTCATCTAAAGGTGATAAATAAACAAAGCTGCGTGGCTAGACACCCACCTGGCAAAGTCCACCCACTTCTCTATGATCTTTTTGGGAGACAGACGTCTGCATATGATCCCGACAAAATCAGGCTGAAACAAAAAAGGAAACATGTTGAATTTTAGCCCAATCAAACTGGATTTACTGTACTTATTTATCCCCTCCTACTGTACACTGTACACTTGCTATTTAGTCAATGAATTCAGTTGCAGTTACACATTAAAATCCCATTTAAACTGCCAAAACAAACATGGCAGCTTATCTGATGTTTCCTTTCAACTGAAAGTAGCCCCTAACAAATGGGCTATTTCCTCCTGATTGAGTAATGTTTCCTAAAGCTCCGACTCTCAGCCCTGAGCCCATTAACGCATAAATCTTTGAATAGTCATGAACTAGTTCAAAGTATTGAGAGAGACAGGTTTTAGTCAGACTTTGACAGGGAAATGTAACATATAGAATAGTAGAACAACAAGTAACCTTACTCCTAGGCTCACCATACATCCTGCTCTTAACCGTTCAAACGTTCAAAAATCATTTGAATCATAGAAACAGATGTACATTATCTTCATGCAGGGCAAGATGGTGCGTGGCCAACATTCGGATTCCCAGACGAGAGCACAGTGTTGTATCCAGGAAGCTGCGGATGATCATCTCATCCTGAAAAATAGAGGGGACAAAAACTTCTTGATGCTTCACAGCCAAAACTCACGTCCAATTCATTTCCAACACTGCTACAAAAAACTTGAATATTTGCTACACTCACACTGATTTGAAGATCAGATTAGCAGCTTTCATAAGCAAAACCGCTCGATATTATGTGCAGAGAATGAGTTTAAGGGTCTTCGTAGGATCATAATCATCATTATTTCTGGGGTCTGTCCTGCAGTTAACACTGTGGCTCTTTATCCATGAAGTTTTCTGTTCTGAGAGTCCTGGAGGTGGCGGTTCTCACCTGGATGTGTCTGCGACACTCCCTGAAGCCCTGGGCGAGCATGGTGACCACGTCTTTGTGGTCGTCCAGCAGCTGCTGCACCAGCTTACAGAAACGAGCCTCCACGTCCTGATCTTTGATCTGTCAACAAACGAGCACACTTCGTATCAAACCGTCACAGGCTTGAGGCAAAGTCACTAGATTATCTTAACAAGGAACATGTCATATGCCATAAATTCTCAAATACCGTCCAAGGCCTTAATTCATCTCACCAGCAGAGCCAACCACACCCACACGAACTTATTTTAGAGACAGGACATCATTTCCTTTCTTGCTGTTTAATCAGCAGTGGTTAATAAATATGTCTGCGAAACATTAGCTTGCGAAAGGAGCTATTTAAAGCTGTTCACCGAAGTGATTGAGACAATCATTGCATCGGCTGTGCCAGTTTTCCGCAATCACAGACAGCCAGAGGGCAACCTTTGAGGTCAGACTGACATGTCAACGTGAACTAGTACAAATACAGAGCAGGGCAGAGAACATGCTCAGCAGGTCTGTCATTGCTTACGGTCTTACATGTGCAAACACAGAAACGAGTCGGCACGTTTGCCTTCTTTGCCAGCATCTCCACGAAGACAAAACAGTGAAGTTAAAAGTCGAGGCCTGCGCCGTTCACCGTCGCTGCCAAGAGATAACTGAAGAGGCCTGACCCACATTCCACACTGTGCATATGTTCTGTAACTGAATCCACTGAGATCCTCACCACTGAGATTGTACAAGTTGCAGCTTTTGTCAGTTAAAATTGCTGAATTATCACAATTCGTGGTATTTAATGATTTAAAACCTGCAACTACAACACGAGTGACACCCGAGCAGCACGACGGAACACATTTTGAGCAGATATTATTTACAGTTTAGTCTCTCGGGCCTCCAGGCACCTTACAACCACCCAGCACTGACAAACATACATGCATACATAAAGCGAGTTATTGCTTCTCACACAGCTTTTATTGCTACTTATCTTTCACTCTGCCATATGCACCTTATCTGAATTCAAACATCTTTTATTGCCCTTTTTTCCTTCTGATGCACCCGAGCACCAGAAACGATGTCTCATCTCAGCTGAACTGACATTGAAATTTGAAATGTTTCCAGTATACACTTATTTTTTCATTGATTATTTCCATAAAATCAGCAGTTTCCTATGTCTCTACAACATTGTATAAAAAAGTCACTTCAACATCATTTTCAACACAGTATTTCGAGCATATTAGGACGTTTTTCCAAAGAGAAAGTAATTATGTTATTTATTACCCTTTTAAGAATGATTCAGCAAATGGCTGGGCTGTTTCGCTGATCTAACCGACTTAATGGCTTTAGCACAGCCAGCAGTGTCGCAGCAAACTGAGGTGTAAACGTTCGACACTCTGCAGAGCAAAATCAATGAAGTTTCCAAAGAATTAAAAAGACAAAACAATCTCCTTTTTTGTGTGCAATAACTCTATTTCCAAATTAATCAAAGACAATTTTCAGAATCGATCATTTAAGTGATCTAAAAAGTAAAGAATACAAAACATAATGTGGCTGTTGCTCGTCAGATGTGAGGGTTTGCCTCTTTTTCTCTGTTTAATCTGTTTGTAAATGAAGAGCTTTGGGTTGTTTTGGTTTTGGATGTCGTACATGATGGAAAACGTAATTGCGGTTAGGGTTAGTTTTTGTCTGCAGCTCTGTCTCAACAACAAGTTCATGATTGGCTCAGTGCTGAACAGATCAACCAATCCTGGAGTCGCAACATGTGACACAAGCAAAATGTTCACACTTCCTGTTTATGGTCAAGAATTAAGCTCCTGAAACACTTGAGTTTTTGACCCTGTGTGTGTATGTGTGTGTGTGTGTGTGTGTGTATGTGTGTGTAGGTAGGACACTCACCGGGGGAAAGTCTATCAGCATGTGGTAGGCTCTGATATACAGTTCATGCTGTAAGAAAGGAGAGGACAGATGGAGGCTGTAGTTAGACCGATTCTCTGTGATCGTCCATCCAACCAGAAATCATCACACCACCAGCACCGGCCCCTGACTGGGCCCCCACAGCACAACTGATAAGTCCACATGTGGCTTACATTTACAAAACATTTCATGATGCTTCGATGTGATAAATTTCTCTGTGTTCACAACAAAGCCGAACAACTCCTCCCCAGAAAATAAGCTTTGCTCCTCGGTTACATCTGAGTTGAAACTGACTTGATGGTTTCAAGCTTGAATTCATGGTCTGAACGTGTATCAGTTGAAACTCAAAACCTGCTACAACCATTGTTTCCTTTACGATAAAAGAGCTGAGTGAGAGTGAGTTAAACCACCCTGACCTACATTGCAACCGGTGGCATTCAAACGGAGCTATGCTTTATGCAATCAGAACAGAGGAGCTCCATGATGCCAGAAAGGAAGGAATCTAGGTGAAAGTTCATCAGCAACAAGACATGCAGAGGCGGTGAATTGGTTTTGAAGAGCCTGCTTGGACAAACAGAGAGAGGGAGAGAGAGAGAGAGAGAGAGAGAGAGAGAGAGGGAAAGCACAGTGTTCCCACATGAAGGCCCTAAAAACGAATGAAAAACTGAAAATAAAAACATTGCGTGTTCATCCTGATCTGGTTTCATTTAGCTGCTTGTGTCTGCATGCAATAAAATCTAAAGACTATGTTACATTTTCAGAGTCAAATTTTTCTAGCTGTGCACATTGTGTTGTGGGTTTAATTAGCTGAGGTTTTGGAAGACGTGTGTAAGAGGCTTGTGAGGCCTCCAAAGAAGGGGGTTTAAAGGAATTTTGTTTGTCCAAAATGGCATTTGAAAAACTCAACAGCAATGTGTCTTTCCAGGAACAGTGCCCTGCTTGCTCTCTCTGGACAGATTTCGTTAGAACGACCTTCAAACTGTTGAAAACAGGATTTGTTCAGGAGGGGCAGAGAAACATTTCAAAAACAAGTGTTGTCCTTAAGTATCACCGGTTCACATGACAGGTCTGGACCACTTAAAAAGGAAAGTCTAAATATAACAAAATTGGTGAATCAGACAAATTCACTTCAGTCTCTTGTTTGTGCCACTAAAGAACAAATTTGTTCCTGTGAGTGATTCTTGTATGATGCACAGTGGGAGTCATGTTTTTGTGTATCCAGTGCAGTGACACCATTTCATTCAATAGAGGTGAGTGAATGTTTTGTTGTAACGATGGATCTTAATTAAAGAGAAAATCAGAAGGGTTTCATTCTAGTTGATTTTTGTGTTTTCAGTGAATCAAACCTTTAAAATGACAGAGCTCATCATGCCCAGAATACTGAATAACAACGGTTACATTTGCTTCCAGCACATACGTAATGTTATATGTCATCTATACGTCATCTATATATCATCTATATATAAGTGCTTTCAGACAGCGAGCTGCCACTGTTGAATCTGCACTGATGTTGGTGTTCTGACACAGCTACCAGCTCCCACATATCTTACAAATAACCTACATGTTCTCATCCATCACACAGCTCAATGGAACAGGTTGTACCTGTAGCTTTAAGAAAAGCAGCTTCCATGTTCTGATAACGTTATCCATAAACAATTTTTATATTTTTCCTTAATAGGATATAGGACAAGGAAAGGAAAGGATAATAGGAAAGCATAAAATCATGTTAACTGTGATAAGACCATTTCATCCATATTGCACACTCTCATCAGCAGGTAAGAGCGCACTTTCACCAGTGCATTTCTATACTTTACAAGTTGCCTATCACTCAACCACTAACACTTCAACATGTGGAGAGGACGAGACGGGGATCAAACCGCCAATCCTATGATTATTGCTTGACCTACTGAGCCACACCGGCCCCATCCTACCTAGAACAATGGAGGCCGCAACAGTAAATGCTCGCTGTGTGACAGCACTTCCCTCTTTCGTCCAAAGTTCAGTCAAGGCTCTCCTGTGCAGTGTCCTAGTTGTCACTTTCTTATTATAGTATCTGCTGCAGGACCGATGCCCTCTCGCTTCATGTGCAGCTTCACACTGTAGCCAGGAGCAGTGCTGGGTGAGAATTGCATTCTTACCACTTGCAGAATGGTGGGGTTGCATCCAATGATGAAGGGCAAACTCCGGAAGCCCTTGATGCGATGAGCGATTCGTACAGGCAGCTCCTTGTGAAGGTACTTGGCACTGCTCTAAGACCATACAGAGGCAGTAATGGAGAGCAAGTGAGTGAAGAGTCACAGAAATCAAAGAGCCTCTCATTACAGGTACACTCAGCAGTTCTCTCAGTGTGGCTTAAATATTTACCAAGATGTGGTGTCCATCCGGAGACTTTCCAGAATACAGCAGGGTCGCTAAGGTCAGTCGCACTGAGGCCTGAGGAGACATTAACATGTACGATCAAATACACATTCACAGTCAGAAATGCAGGTGACCTAGAAAGACTTTCTACTGTACGTGTTTTTTATTTAACAAAAGGAGCCCAAGTTCTCAAATCTTAAATGTTTTCTAAACACAAGCAGCTGTACAAAAACTAACCTGACATAAAATACAGTATATATAATGGGCTCAACGCTTTAATAACCAAATTCAAAGTTACATTTAGTTATATGTTTATGTCAAATACAATCCAGAAATTCCCAGGCTCCATTAAAAATAAGTCTAAGTATATTTTTACCACAAAGGCAAATATATATATTTAAAGCTACCAAGTACGTGACCCACTAATGGCCATGTAGTGTGGAAGAGAAACCTGCACCAACAAACAGTAAGTGGTGATTCACTATGAAGTCACTGGGTACCAGGGAACTGCTTAGGTCATTGATTCAAACAACACTGTTACACCTACAAGACAAGACAATTATGTGCAACATGTTTCCAAGACAGTCGATGACAACCAAAGTCTTCCCAGAGCTAGATTAGAAGTCTCAAAAAAAAAAATTGCATTTGGATGCCGAATGATATGTGATGGGATCGGCCTATCCACATCTGGAGGCGGTCTGTGTCACATTGGGATCCGATTTCATGTTAACACCAGGTGTAAACGGGGCCTAAGTGACACACCTTAAGTCAAACAGCTATGAATTTTACACGTTGTGTTTACTGTGTTATGACAGTGTGAAAAGGTAAAGTCAAGTGCAGTGAGGCAGGAGTGTGCTTCTGTGCCGAACTGGAATGTACATGTGCTCGAGGTACAAGTGGAAAATTTGACCTGATTATAGAACCAGATCACAAGGTCGCCAGAAATGTAAGGATTTATTCTCTCGGGACCATGAACATACACAGCAAAGTCGCTGCAATCTTATTTAGCAACTGCACTTTTCATTCGTATCTGAAAATGCTGAAGAAGGGGTTTTGTCTTATTTCAGTATTAGTTCATAACACAGCTGCACATTCCTTCCTCATTTTACTGTGAAGAAATACTAGTGTTGTTTTGTTTTGCTTCACACTGAATGAAAAAGATTAACTGTACGTCCAAAAATTGGTTAAGTGTGTTACAAACTACTGAGGCATCCATGTTCTTGCCAGGAATAAAAACTCTTTAGGAAAAATGGAACAAAAGTGAACAAAAGAGGGAGGAGTTTTGACAACGAAGGAAGGAGTTTGTTATTGGAGAAGAGGTATCCATGTTTGTCAACATTGTTCTTTGAATACTTACAAGCGCTGTACATTTCTATTTCATTTCTATTGACTGATTGTTTGCTTTATACTGTGTTAGAGGAGGAAGAAATGAAAGATCTAGCACAGCGGGAAAGGACTTCGAGGATCCGTGTTTCTTTAAAAAAAAATCATTTACAATAGACAGAATATTTTAGAGACTGGAAAAAACAGCGACATCGTCATTGTGACTTTTCATTGGGTCAACTTAACCTCTGTAGCTGAAACTTAACACCATCAACTCCCCTGCTCTTAATCAGACATCTACAGTATAGTTCAAATGACAGCTTTGCGTTGACAACTTTTATTCAACATCGGTGATGTTGTGTCGCCGGGATTTTCAACATTGTGGTGTTAATTTGTCAGAGATAAACGGTTGTTAGCTAGCTAAACATTATGTCCTCGTGAAAAACCGTGATGGTGCATTCCAGACCTCAAGAGAAAATTGGTCAAATAGCGGTTAGGGCTAAAGTAACGGGTCCGGCGATTTTGGATTATTAGAAAAAACGGTGCCAGTTGGAGTGAGAGGTCGAGGTCCATCCACTATCTCGGGCTTGAGTGGTAACTTTAGATTTTAGATTTAAGTTGGCTTTGAACGCTTACTGGCACGAATCGGTCATCAAATTGGGACAAACGCGTATGTACTGCCTTTTTGTGTCCCTGAACGCAGCGCAAACCGTGCTAACAGCTAGCGTTACTGTCAAGCTACAGCTAGCTTACTCCCTCGTTGCCACGGCAGGAGGACCGGGGTTTCAGAGGAGTAAACTGGCATAAACTCACTTTCCTACCTTTTCTGCGGAAACGTCGATTGCAGATTGGTTGTAAAACGATGTGACAGTCTTCGACCGCTCTCTTGCCAACTCTGAAAATCCCTGCATCGAGGACGTGGACCGAAATCTGTGGCTCTCCGTGTTTGACATCGGCGATACTGTTTTGGTGACGGGGGCCAGGAAGAGGCTGCCGAGCCTCGGCCTGGCTCTGCAGGTAGCACCGCTCAGCATCTCCACCGCTATACCCGCCAGTCCAGGACGCATTTGGAGACGAGCTCTGTGTGTGTGAACAGGGCTGCCCCGTTCCCGTACAAGCACTAAGTGTTATGGCTGCTACGAGGCCATTAGGGTCGAGTCCTAATGGTGCACAAAGGCACGGGATCTGAATACAGTAGAGAGAGGGTACAGAAAGGGCTTTGTAAGCATTGGCCAGTGGGGGAGAAAGCTGAGGCGACGACATGACAGCTGAGCCAATCAGTCAGACAGAGGCGGAGCGAAACAGCATCAACACCCCCCCACCACCACCCCTATTTCCCCTACTGTACTGTACTGCAAGGAGCAGCTGGAGCTGTTGGTTAAGAGCAACTCCGAGTATTTTAGCCGGCATGTGGCTCAAGGGGACATGGGGAGACACAGAGTAAGATGCAGTATGTTTGCTGTTACACATGCATGTTTACAAATCATGTTTGTTTTCCCTCAGGCCCTATCCCTGTATTTATTCCCCACAAATACCTTACATATAAGTGAAGTACTACAACCTGCAACTTTATTATTTGGTACTTATTTCAGACATAAATAAAAAACTCTCAGGTAGTGGGTACACTCACAACTGCTTTACACTGCAGCAATTTTCATGCTCCATTAACCTGTTAGGGAGCCCTGTGGGCACTCTAAGCACTGTGCAGTACTGACTAAAGATTAGTCACTTAACATGTTTAGATCTAGATTCGTATCAAAGATCTTATCTTGTCAGTCGCAATTTCATTCTGCAACGACTCCAAACATACTGCCAGTCACAAGGAACTATCTTCACGGACAAAAAGAACAAGGAGTCCTACTGCAGATGATCTGGCCTCCACAGAGCCCCTATCTCAACATCATGGAGTCAGTCTGGGATTACATGAAGAGACAGAAGACACTGAGATATCAGAACTGTCGCATGTTCTCAAAACAATATAATAGCTCGTCTTATACCTTGAAAGATTGTCCAGTGCAGTGTACTTAGGAGAATAAGTGCTACTCTACAGGCAAAGGGTGATCACACCATATATTTTGTTTACTGCACATAGATAATGAATAAAAAACTATGTGGCATTTTTTTTCCTCATTTTACTTTTTATTTCACTTCAAAAAGATGATGCCCCATGATATTTAGCCCAATGGATAATCCTCATCCTCCTCATTTTACACTGAATTTGATCAGGAGAGTTTATGTGTGGGCTGCAGTCATCAGTTTTAATAACCATTGTTCTCCATTCACTATTTATCAGTTATTGACTTGTTGTGTCTTATCTAGTCCCAAACTAGATTTTGACCTTGACCAGGTAGATTCATTAGTTATAGTATCTCAACCCAGGTCCACATTACTTTATAGTTTAGTTTCAGACAGAGCTGGAGGACAAACCTTGCAAGACAGGTGAGTCTCACAAAATGCCTGAGGGGAAAACCCAGGACATAATGAACTATAATCTATTCCAATTTATTATAATTACTAATTAAGTTGTTACTTCAAACATCTATGCCTGTATGTCCACCACTCACTCAGCTTTACTAACATTTTGTTATTCTTGGCATTAAAAATGAATGTCCTGCTAACTGGTCTCAGCCCTTTAATTATTCAAAAGATCTCTTGCGGTATCTATAGTCCGAAGATGCAAGCAGATGGCTGCCTCACTCACAGAGGTGAGGCACAATTTCACACGACACAGACTCATTGTGACTATAAAAAGGTATTTGTCCTGCCTTGTGATCTATTACACAGCTGATATTATGCTGAATGAAGGGAGTATAGAGCAGCTTGCAGGGGAATTAATTAGAAGGTGTGATTGAAGTGTAATTTATTTGAGCATCCTGGTAGCCTAGTGGTTAAATGTCCCCAGTTTAATTGTGGCCAGGGACCTTGTAATATAGTAAAAAAGAAAAACAAAGTCAAATCTCATTACAATACAGGGTACAGCCCAAATAAAATACACTACTTGTCCATTTATAAAATTCAGTCCTTTTATCCCCAATGGCAAATCATATCTTTTTTTTTTTTTAATTAAATGAAAAAAGTTCACATGTAACTTCACAACACGTGGAAACATGGCAGGTTGTAAGCACAGTAGAACTACTGTGGATTTAGGATAAACACAAGAAGCTTGTGCTGTGGGATATAAATGGCATTTATACTGTTCAGATCAATATAATTAGACAGCAGGAAGGAAGACGATGTAGTGAATCTGTTTCGTAAGCAGTCAGTCGCCAGGATGCATCTCCACTCTGCCTCTTTCATCTTCACAATGAAGTCAATACTGCTGTTTATATTCCTTAATGTTACCAGAGCATTACAAAGTAACAGTATACAGTACGGTCCAAGCCAAGGTTCATTCACATACAGCTGTTAAAAAAAACATGTACATTTGAAAATGAAAGAAAAAGAACATATTAAATCATAAATTGCACAAAAAAACAGACTTCCTGAAAATTAGTTTCACTTATTAAACCCGCATTTAGCTGCTAAATGCTCCACCATGTTCTCCAGCTAGTTGCCGTTCGGTCTCTCTGCAGGTATCGTACAGTGTTATCAGATCTTGTTTTTGACATGAGGTTGACGATAGGGAACCAAAACAATCAAAACAATGAGTTGCAACATGCTAAAACACTGGTGGGCTGAAGGAAACTGCAGAGGCTGGTGATATTTATCTGTGGGTTTATCACTATGAGCGACACCTTTTAAATGTTGCAAATATCTTGATATTTCCATGCTGGTTCCTTGAACACAAGTTCATAATTTAATAATGAGGCAGACAACTAGGAATCATACTGCAAGCATGAAATTAAACCGTGCCAAATAAAACCACACATTAAAGAGACTATAAAACAAGATCTAACATGAACATACCTGAGGCCAATTACTTTATTTTGTATAATCAATCACTCTTAAATAGAGTTGTTATGGTCTGCTACACATTTTCTGACAATTTTAAAGTTGAGTTGAGTTATTATGTGGAATGATTACATATACTTTTTTTTAACTGATAGCATGTTTTGTGGTTTTTGGATCTGATCTGGATCTTTTTTTTTTAATAAACTTTCAAAATAGATTAAAAAAATAGTTGTGTGCCACAATCAGTAATTCTCTTGCCTTGTTTATACTACTAATCACCTACAGTAGTGACTCTTCACTATAAAATTCTGCAAATTAAAAGTTTTACTTCTCAACATGAGATATTTTCATATAGAAAATAAAGAATATTGTTACTGTAAACCTTCAACCTATCTGGCTGCTACTTGCTGACAGATGTAACTGCAGCAGCAGCAGCATCATAAAAGCCACTTTCTCCACAAAAACGGAAGAAAATGATCAAAGAACAAGATCTCAGAGAGGATCTGTCAGTCTGTCTCTGTTAGACAGAGGTGTATGTGTATTGTTTCAGAAAAACACCCAGTTTGGTTGTTTATTCTGACATACGAGTTAGGTAATGGTCCGTCACATTTTCAGTACTGCATCTGAAGTACTACCTCACAAATACCAACATTTGGTACTCGCTTTTTTTCCAGTACAAAAACCCTTAGGATCTGCCTGACTTCCTTTAAGTCACTTCACAGTCTCATGGCTGTGCTGCTCAGGAGGACTCCTCCCGTTTCCACACTATCACCATATTCTTGTCACTGAGGGCCACCAGGTAGCGTAGCTCAGGGTCCATTGCTACGCTGTTGATGGAGGGGCCCTCTACTTGGCTGAGGCCCTTCCTTACCGGCATCGGCCACTCTAACACCTGCAAAAAAACAAAGAACAGTCTGTAAATTGTAGCTGATGTTTACCGTGGAGATTTTGGACAGTCATTTTACTGTTTACTGTTTGTTTTCTTTTACAAATAATCTTGGTCAACCTGGGTTTTTTTTTACAACCTGTCTGATTGCTTTTTAGTAATGTCACTGTGTTAACAGATATCAGCACATAACTCGGTCGCTACTATCAATAAAAAGACATTGAGAGGAGAAGGCTACCTCAGTGGGCAGTATGGGTTTCCCCATCTGGAAACTGTTTTTCTGCAGTTTGGTGACGTGGTACGTCCACAGCCTGCCTTTGTCGTCACCACACACTATGTAGGCTTGGCCTGAAGAGAGGGGAATGAACACACACACACACACACAAAGCAGATCATCGAACTGAGTTCAGAAAGGCTTTTTTCTCTGCCACTCAAACACAAAGCTCTGGTCAAGCCTCAAACTGAGTCACTGGCTTGTGGCCGGACTGAAGCATAAACACACTGTAACAAAGCTTGAAGAGCACTTATGTCCTTGTGCTGACGTTTGAAGGCAGGGTTGTACCACTTGTATCAAATTATTTTCCTATTAGAACTGCAGGCAATATAGTTTGGCCAGAACTCTTTGGCGCCCCCTTTCTACTCCAAGTGCAACAACAGATGATTGAAGATCAAAAGCAAAATGATAAATGCAGCTCTGCCGATGCTCGAAGATGTGGACTTACCCGGACAGGTGTTGAGCGCCAGGTAGGGAATCTCAGTGTTGGTCCACTGCAGCTCAGCGAGAACCACAGCACACACTGTCATGCTCTTCTTGTCAGGCCGCTGAGCCTTGGTCCTGCTCCAGCTCCACAGGTAAATGGAACCATGCATGTAGTTTTTGGAGGCTTAAGGATCATAATGAAGAAGTGCGACAGAAGAGAAAAAAAATGAAATAATTGAAAAGTTAGGGGCATGAATTAAAAAAAAAAAGAGGGCACAATATGAGCAAGGGTCATATTTTATAAATACTGCCAGATCACTTACCCACTATGTCATCAGTAAGAAAACTCAGGCCGTCAACGGTGTGGTAGTCGTGGTCTTTGTCTTCCTTCTTATATATGGGGAAAGTTATCTCCATCTCCTTGGACCGACTGAGGAGAAGTCAAACTCAACATCACACACCGTAAGATACCGGCAGCTCTATCCGTTCAGTTTTACACACAGTCAACAAACCCAGTGTCAGCACCAATCCAATCTAAAGGTTAGTCACTGCCGAACAAACAGATCAGAAAGTTCACTCAGGTGAAAATTAAAATTTTTCTGAATCAAAACAAAGAATGTCTCCTTTGTGAAAACCATTATACACTCTACTGTAACGTCAGCATTTCATTGTGGTATTCTATACTCATATTCCAACATGTTTCACCTTTAAAACAAAAAGGTTTTTTGTCATTTCGGTGCACAGAAGGAGAGGCATCACGAGGTGAGTAGTGTGTTGTATCAATGATGGATTTTAAAGCTTTTTTTGTCCTTGAATCTTTAATTAATGACCATTGTGAGTCCTAATGCATTCTTATATACACAATAAGTATCTGCTGCTTTTTAAAAGGCCTGGATCAGTCGTTTTGTAATATTGCCTCCACTCTAACTAAAGCTCTTCAAAGCAAACCGAAACTCATAGATACAAGAACACACACAATGAAAGTCTTTACCTTTTTGTGCTGTTGTTGGTACCGAGCTGTGTGTTGAAGCAGTACAGGCCATCCTCACAGGCAGTCAGTACCTGAGTGCTGGGGGAAGTGGGAGCGAGGCAGATGTGCAGGGGGGTGGCACTGATCTCCAACACCAGCAGCTGACTGGAGGGACGCACAGAGCAGAAATATTCTCAACATCACTGCCTGAACCTCTCACCTACCGTCCTGGACCCGTTACATCATCTTCAGCTGAGATTCACGAAGACTTCAAAAATATTATTTTTAATTCTAGCAAAGAACTTGAAGTTTGTGAAGATACTGTATGTATTACGCGTAATATGATGTAACAAGATGTCAGGCGTGTATTTTTTTCCAATCAAAAGACCTGTCCAAACTATGTATATATGTACCATATGAGTTATGTACCCATACCCCTCAGTGCAAACTGAAACTAATAGAGCTAAAAACAACATTAAATAAACAATTTAAAAAGAAGCAGTATTAACTTTCTGATCAAAATGTTGCTAAAGACAAATTTCTAGCTAGTGAATTATTCAAGCAGAAATACTCACACAACTTTGAAGTTGTACTGGCTGTCCACTCCACCGATGTCCCACATTACTATCTTGTTATCGTATGATCCCGCTGCGAGAGGAAAGGTGAAGGATGAATAAATGCTTGCTAGCGACACATGGAGACTGTTTGTGAAAGGACAGTAAAGTATGTCAAGTCAGGCATGAACCGACTGTGGCTGGTGCAAAAGGACAACAAGACAGGATGCATAGCCTCAATTCAGACTCTGTTGGGTAAATAGTGCCATTCACCTTATTTTCTACCTTTCTTTCTTAATATTGGCTGTTTATCTGTAGGAAGAAACCATGACTCACTGAAGAGGAAGTTTCCCTGGTGGTGGTTGAAGCGGAGGACAGACAGCGCCTTGCGGCTGGCTCTGAACTCCCCGTAGGCTACGTTGTTTCTGGGGTGGATCAATTTGACCAGTCCTCTCTTTCCACCTGCCGCCAGGATGCTGCAATGTTGAGCCGAGGCCCCGCCTCCCCTGGACATCATCACTGTGGACCAGGACAGCGAGAAGAACTCCTGTGGTGAAGAAAACACAGATACAAACAACATCAGACAAAAATCTAAAGCTTTTTTTGTGATATGAAAAGTCAATTTTATCCAGAGATAATGCCACCTGTGCTGCAACAGTTTTATCACACCTGCCATAGACCTGTAAATCCTCACAATAAGAAATCTAAACTTAAATTGATATGTTATGTGTGCTAAGTTAATTCAGAACAGCTAAATAATATGAGCACACAACACTCACCGAAGAAAATCAGGGAGATTATTTCCTTTAATTATAAATTATGTATCTTGCAATTATCAGAAACCTATCTCATAATAAATGGAACAGACCTCCCCATGAACTTTGTACTTCTTCATCACCATCCCCGTTTCACAGTCAATCACACAGAGTGAGTCTCCACCACAGGTTGCAACCAAACGGCTTCCTCCACCTGTCAATACAGGAACAGAAAAGAAGTTTATTTGTTTTCCTCCTGTGAACATAGTTATAAGAGAACCTTTGAAATGTATTTACATTTGGACAATTTAAACCTCCTTTAAAAAGGCCTTGTGGCTGCCCTGATAAATGTGAGGGAACTGTTTCTCTGAATATGGTCAACTGTACCGGTGGAATCTGGCAGCGGCTGGAAAGCACAGGCCCACAGCTGGGTGGAGAAATCCTCAGAGTTGTCCTGTTTACTGTGGCACTGGAGGACATGCAGAGGCTTCAGACACAGTGGCTGCAGAGGGGAGGAAACGTACACAAACAGGAAGATGGAGAAAGGGAGATAGCAGAGCAATGGGAGGAAAGGACTTTAATGACATGACATTCTGATGATACCAAAAATTGGGCATTCAGTGTTGAACAATGGAAAGAACAGTCATTTTAGTTTAGCGTGTGAGCACTAAACACAAAGTGCAGCTAGTTTTGCAGGTTTTGCATCCAATAGTTGTTGAGATATTTTAGTCTGAACCAAAGCAGTGGACAAACATGCTAAAAATACAATACTATAATAAAATGTAAATATGAAATTAAATAAAAAGTCATTTCTGATCCTTCCTCTAAAACATTTGGATTTCTCCTTAGGGGACCATGAAACAACTGTCATGAAAATCTGGACAACAGTTGTTGAGGTATCTTGGGTTGCTCTATGATCAAAAGATTTAATCATAGACATTTAAAAGATTAAAGTTACTGGAGCTCCAAAAACAGAACACACAAACTTTAATGGCATAAGAATAACACAGGGTTAAGTATTTAATAGCTGTATTTACATTACCTGTGTCTTGCTGCAGCTCTGTAATGTAGGCAGCATATCAGTGTCTCTCTGCAGTTTTGTGGCTTTTTTGTTGACATCTTCCTTCTGTTTTATCTGAGCTCCATCTTCTGTGGTTTGTGGCACCTTTGAGGCTCTTCTGGGTGTCTCTGCCCGTGTCTGCCCTCTGGTGGGGGTAGAGGGAGGCTGAACTGTCTTGCGGGGGCTCATCCTGACAGTGTCGGCCTGAGTCAGAGGTTTGAGGCGGAGGCTAGATTTGCGAGGACTGTCTCCAGCTGGTGAGACTGGGAGATCTGCACGCAGCCTTTTGCGAGGCATCAGGCTTATGTTGGTGTCCATTTCTGATGTGGTATTTTTCCTCTTCGTGGGAGTAGAGATTTCCTGAAGAATAGCAAACAAATACATGGTATGAACTTTAAACCAACTCCAGTACTAATCATTTACAGGTTCAGCATCATATATTTTCTATACTGTTTCTTGAATACATTATGCACCACTGCACAGAGGTTTGAATTTTCTCAGTATTGCCCAGTGCCCGAAACACCAGATCGGATCTATACTGAGCTGAAGCAGCAACACAGCAGTATGGAGGAAGCCACCAATACACTCTGAAAGCACTGTGCAGTTTGAGGATCACAATGACCATTCAGTCAGGTCTGCTACAGACATCATGTTAAAACAGGTCATCCTTCAAATTCTTACACAGTTCTCTTTTTTATCAGTAGACTCGCTGCTCTCCGGTTCCGTCTTTGGTTCTGTCAGAGAACGCAGGAACTCCTTAGCGAGAATCTCCACCTGAAACCAAACAGAGAAACAGTTACTAAAAATGACAGAAGGCAACACAAGAAAAATCTCACTCACAATGTCTGTAACATCCTGAACTTACCTTCCATTTGGTGAAGTCAGTGACTGAACTGGGTCCAAATTTAATCTGTTGACGGGCAGTGTTGACAAAGTTTGTCTCCAAGGTGGACATTTTCTCTGCTGTCATGGGATCCGGGAGAGTGAAGCTCTTCTCCCAAAGTGCAATTATCTGAAAATAACCAAAGACAGTTTGTACAGTGACAGAAGGAAGAGCCTGCAGTAAACATTGGATTACTGACACAACAGTCAAAATAAGAAAGTAGTTTCATACCCTCGTCCTCAGGACCTCACTGTAGACGCCGCGCAGGTGGAGGGCATTAGCACCGATATCTTTACCGTTGTGAATCCTCAGGTTGGGCAACAACACCATCAGCTTGTAATTATCACTCACCTGAGGAAGGAAAGCAACTTTAACTATCAAGCCTAAGACCTACTGAGGAGTGCATAAAAATGCAAAGTTATACTCCTTTTCAATCCTGTGAAATTGGCCCGAAAAAAAATGACGTCAGTCTTTGCAAATGGAAATTATCTACGTGTTCATTTGCATTTGGAGCAGAGATCCGATCACAAGTGGTCACTCCAGACACATGTTAATGCCAGGTGTGAATTGATGAGCTGTCCACTTGTGACTGGATCACCCAAGACACATGCTAATGCCGGGTCAGATAGAGCCGGAGCTGACATAATAGACAGACAACCATTCACAGCTACAAGCAATTCAGAGGGTTCAATTCTAAATTTGCATGTCTTTGAACTGTGGACGGAGACCGACACAGACACAGCAAGAACATGCAAATGCAATTCAGCCGGCTCGTGGAATTAAACACAGAAACTTCTCGCAGTGAGGGGCCACTGCTGACCACTAACCCACTGTGCCATAAAAAGGATTTGTATTGAATGAATTAGCACAATGGTATGGTCCTTTTTAATATATAATAGAGACGACAAGACGAGTGTGAACATGACATTTCTGCTCAAGAATTACTGTAAGCCCTCACAGTGATATAAAGGTTGTCCTCCGTCTTGAGCTCTTCCAGACTGCTTAGAGACTCCAGAGTTGTAACATCCTCCATCTGGTTGTCGCTGAGGTCCAGGTAGCGAAGTGCAGGCAGCTTCAGGTTCTTGGGCAACTCCTGCAGTCCGTTCCCAGACAGATCCCATCGCTCGAGGGACTGGAGACGGGAGAGCAGCTTGACTGGCAAGTCCTGAACCTTTAGCCCCAGCTTAGATAGACTGAGGAGCAGAGAGTGTGAAGTTAGTGTTCGGGTCAACATAGTGTGCAATCAAATCAAATACAGGGTTACTTAATGATTATCTTAAGACCGCTGTGGCAACTTTTCTTTCTTTTTTACCTCAGTATTATTTACTTCAAAACTGTAGTTAACACTGGGGTTCCTCAATCACATACATAAACAATATCTTCAAGTCAGGGACTTCTTGAAACTCATATGCATTAAATAACACATACAAATAAAGGGTTCATTAGCTGAGACTTTCAGAACAAACACTGGCATAAGGAGAGAAAAAAAGCATGCTTACTTCAGTGTCTTGATTTGCTCCAGTTGTTTGGTTTGTGGAGAGCCTTTCTCCAGTAGAAGTTTCTCAGTTATTTTCTCCATTGATTATCCGTAGGGTGGAACACAACTCAAAAAGAGAAACAACTGTAGAGGAAGGATGGAGTATTACAGAGTTAAAGAAAGAATAATGTCTGCGTGTGATGTTGTCTGTTTAACCTCTGTTCAAACCCAGCCTTGAATCTTGCTGGCCAGAAGTGCTCTGTACCCATAAATGTACTGGGGTCTGCTGACCACACCTTGACTGCACTCACACATTGCTGGTGAGAAATTCAAAACCTTGAAGTCAGAAAAACTGGTTTCTGGTAATTCGCCCTTTAATTGTAGGAGTATTAAAAGGCACCGTACAGAGTATCTGACCACTAATGTTATGTTTCGATGGGCAGATCTCTGTTTTGTTAGTAAAGAGTGCTCTATAAGCACACAAGGACACATGGGTGCGGCAATACACACCCCCTGTTGACGGTTTCACACAACTCCACCAGTCATACAAGACACAGTGATCCTTGAACTGTTTATGTTTAGGCCTGGTCTCTTTGTCTCACTTGGTTACTATACTATGGATTTTTAACAAGTCAACCATGTAAAACTCTGCCATTGCTCATCTTTTCTTCAAAATGACTGCCTTACATAAAATGACTGGACTCTCATTCTTCTTTTAAATCTCCTTGCTCTAATACATATAATATTTACAGTGGAGTGTCATTGTTTTCCTTTCTATGGTACATTGCTTGGGATGCTCCTCTGTTTTACATTTTCTCTTGTCTTATAGAATCTGTTTGAATAAAATGTTTCCTGCAATATGAACACACCTTCACTGAATGTATATCAGAGAGTTAACACAGAAAAGGGTCATTTACTTAGACAAATAACCAAACAACCCTCAAAAAGTTGAGTCATAATTGTAGCTTTAGTATACTAACAATAGCGTTTCAGATACATATATAAACTCTGTTTTCATGTCACATTATGTTATATTTGTTGAGGTAAATCTTGTTAATTCAATGCGAAATGTTTTTCTTAGAAACAGCAGTTCTTAGCTAGCCACGCTGGAAGCACCGACTTCCACTCTCTGTGTATATAAGCCAATAAGTTCGCATTATAAACAATAACCCAATTATTCTTGACTTTTAGTAAACGTCCAAACCGTTAACTTACATAAGAAAACATCAGGTTCATGATTTTTGTTTTAAACTCGTGGATAAAATAGCTTACCAATACTTCAGCGACTTCAGTGAACTTACTGCCCCTGTAGAAACCGAGCTTTCCCGGGGAAACTCTACGTACATCCGGTGGGCGTGGTTAATATATCATGTGTTTTTTTTACCCTGAGCAGCAACTGCCAGGCAAATTGTATTGCCCCCAATTAAGGCTGGATTACCAACCAGACAAATGCCCTGTGGCCAAAGACCCCCGGAGGCCCCCCAAAACACCCTGGTGAACATTTAGGTCTATATAATATAATTAGAAATACTATATCAACTATGTCAGGTCCTCTATCCTCTATCTATCGAATACACTTATTTATGGAATAGTCTCGACCATGGACCCTGGCATTCTAGTTTTAAGACTTTTTGATCTTATTCTGTGGATATGTCTTGTGTTATTGAGTTTTTTTTTTTATCAAACTGCTTCCATTTTGTCCCTGTGTTATGTAATTAACACAGAAAGTGTGTGTCGTGTCAGTTAGAGAAACTAGACAGTCAGTTGCTATAGGTCAGCCCTTAAATCTTTGTCCTTATATTGTATTATTTGTTATGTTATTTCGTATTATGTTTGTTAATTTTATCAATTTGTACATTTTTATTCTTATTTAGTTATTGTTTTATAAGATACTGCTGTTTCTATAGATTCAATTCTTGTTGTAGAAATGTTGGATGGTTAAAAAAAATTACTCTCATCTATTAAAAATACTTTTACCTCTCATCTTTTAATTTTCTTGTCTAAAATCCTCAAAAACTCACTAATTCATGCAGTTGATGGTGAATGAGCACACAGGCTCCGTTAGGTGGCGATATTGTTCTGTTTAGTAGGTTAGCCAACTATCAACAACAGAAGAAGCTACAGGATGATGGCACCTGATCGCAGTGACGGTGTTACTTCATGTGCTTGTAAAGGCATCCGGCGGTGTCTCATGTGTGAAAAGTTTAAGGGAAAGGGACAGCTGGAGGCGAGTGAACCTCAGGTAAATATTTTCGACTGAAAACTATGTTTTACTTTGTTTTTATCAGCAGCAAAGGGACGCAACCATTGCTAGCACTGTTCGCAACTTAGTACGGGTGCCCTCACGGGACAAACCATCCTGCCTCAAACAGTTATTACAGAACTACGGTCATAACTTCTAAAACAAAAATACTTGCTGACTTACCTCTTTAACTACCAACTGTTCTCATTATAACAAGACACACTGATATGTCAAGCCACCCCGCAGTAAGCTACCTAGTTGCATTTTTCCACATTTATTGCCATGTGCCCACTAGAAAGCAGTGGCAGAGGAAGTAACCAGAACCTTTACTTAAATAAAAGCATTAACTCCACAGTGTAAAATACACCATTACAAGTAAAATTCCTCCATTGACAATATCATTCAAGTTGAAGTGTGTAATTACAGTCCGGAAATCAAAATCAAGAGTATTCAATGTAGTAAAATGTCTGTTACTGGTGCGTTAATGTGTGAACAGCATTTTGCTGTTGCAGCTGGTTGAGGTGGAGCTCATTAATAACTATTTTTATATAGGACCGAAACTAATGAGCTTGATTGATCTTGAGAATAGTGAGAATTGCACATCACAATTTCCCAGAGCCGAAAGCAACACCTTCAAACGTCTTGTTTTGTCAACCAATAATGTTGTTTTTTTAGTTATTAAAATAAATGTGGAAAATCCTCAAATTTGAAATGACAGAGCCATGAATTTTTTTTTATATTGCATGAAAAATTACTTCAATCAACAGCACAAATTTATTCTCTGTCACTTGACAAATCAATGGATAAACTAATGGTTTCAGCTTAACATACTGTTGAGACGTAAAATCTATAACAAAGCATCATATCTTATAAGCACTTCAGCTGTTTTGTATTTAAAAAACCTTAGTCTGTAAAGCAATCATATGAATGTAGTTGAATAAGAAGTTACATGAAAAGAAGATACTCAAGTACCTCAAATTTGATGCAATGCTTGAATAAATGTAGTTAGGTACATTACACCACTGCTTTTTGTTTATGTCAGTACACTGTAGACATATGCTGCTTCACTGCATGACTTTTTTACATTTCACTTCCTAGACAGGAAGTGGCTAAAGTTGAGCACCTTTTTTGAGAAAGACATTAATTCAATACAGTAAAATTGTGGTTCATCATCAAGACAATATCAAGAGTGCTATGTCTTGGTAATGTAGAGCAGATGTAACATAATAATAATAATAAATATTATTAAATATTATTATTATACTTTTTTTTTTAATGTGAAGGTTGTACATCATTTCCACTACAATCCTGAGACGGGGCTTGCCATTTGCAAAGATGCTGAGGCTGCATCCTTCCCCTTTCCTGGTGTCTTCCTGTGGGAAAACTTCATATCAGAAGAGGAGGAGAGGGAGCTGATAAACACGATGGACCAGGATGTGTGGAATCAGTCCCAGTCTGGTCGAAGGAAACAGGTAATGTGGAGCATATGGTCCAATGAAAATCAGTATTTGCTTGTCTAACTCTGCAGATTATAACATATAAATCTAAATTGTTAGGACATACCCAATATGTGTGTAACATCAATACATTTGTTATTAAAACATTGTTTAAATGTGTAATGGTTATATGTAAATTCTCGCAAACTTGATGTCAGTACGCCACAATTTTTATCCTCATTTTATAGGGTCATTATAATTTAGGGATGTTTTATTCAGTCAGTGACACTAATTACACACACACACACACACACACACACACACACACACACACACACACACACACACAGACACTGACACAGGTGTATCCTGTCCCATTCACATAGATATATCAACACTAACAGGAGAGTCAAAGGTGACTATCAATCATGAAATAAACAAAATTCTCCTCTCCTATTGTTGCAGGACTTTGGTCCAAAAGTGAACTTCAAGAAAAGGAAAGTGCGTGTGGGCGGCTTCAGTGGACTCCCTGCTTTAAGCCAAAAACTAGTGCTCAGGATGCAGCAAGAGCCAAGTCTAGCAGGCTTCCAACCAGTGGAGCAGTGCAATCTGGATTACCATCCTCAGCGAGGCTCCTCCATCGATCCACACCTAGATGACTCCTGGTTGTGGGGGGAGCGCCTGGTCACCATCAACATGTTATCAAACACTACACTAACCATGTCGCTTGAACAGGGTCTGCCTGAGTTGGGACTAGGAGAGGAAGTCCGTGTAGCTGTGCATCTTCCTCGCAGATCTTTAGTCGTGTTGTACGGTGAGGCGCGACATAGGTGGAAACATGCAATTCATAGGGAGGATGTTCATGAGCGCAGAGTTTGCAGCACTTACAGAGAGCTGTCTGCCGAGTTCTTACTTGGAGGGCAGCAGGCAGAGCTGGGAGTTCAGCTGTTGAACATTGCTTTGAGCTTTCAAGGAACTCCGATATAAAGTAATCAGATGATGCAAAAAAAGATTGTACTACCAGAGTCTAGACTACTTGCACATGTCTTGGACTGTGTCTCATTTCAGGTGTGCCTCCCTAAACAGTCCTTCTGTGTCCTTCAGAGGGCTGAGGGTTTGTAGACTGAAGCTGTGCTCCCTCACCAAACACGACAGTCTACAGAGGAGTCACAATACAGTCGTCGTCAGTTCCTGCCAACTTCAAAATCGACCAGTTGACCAGTGCACAGTGGATTTTGGAATATGCAAGACTACAAAGGATACAGTTGCTGTGGCTCAAAATTAGGGCAAAAGAAGAAGAAGAAGGAGACGACCACACATCTTTGCTGCTTTTAGTGCAGCCTTTGTCTTGAATTGTGGACTTAAAAAAAGAGGTGGACACTGAAGCGGACTCTGGTTCTTTGGCTATTTGACTTGTCTGGTCCCAATTAATATTGAAACTATCATTCTGTTTGTCAAAAACCTGTCTCAGGCAATTTAAGGTACTACAGGTTTTGTTAGACCCGTGAGTCAACAATGCTGCTGAGACTTAATAAACTGATAAGTCAGAATCTGCTCAATGAATATTCAAATGTTAAATACTACTGAGGAGAACTGTCGTCCAACATTAGATCAAAAAAAGGAACATACAGTGTTTATGAGGTTGTTGCACCATGAGCTTCCAGAACAGCGAGAGCGCTCCTTCATTTAGAGTATTGTGGTGGTGTCCATTCAAAGCATAGAAGCTTTAGTGAATTGTTACATCATATGGGAAAAGACTTAACATCCTCTATAAAGCCAATATGATGGTGAAAGCAAAAAGTGATTTGATAAATTAAACCACACATTTCTATCGAATGGAATAATATAAATTTAGTGATTAAATTGTAGGGTTTTTTTCAAGGTTTCAGACCTGCTGTCCTTCACAAATGTAACTGTTAGTATTGTTGTCAACAACATGAATAAGCAGTTGACGCCAGATACAGAAAAAAATTAACTATTATTGGTTACATAGAAATATGCTAATAGAATATACTGGTTACCAGTCTTTTACACTAATATATAAATGCGTGGAAATTGAATTAAAACTTTCAAAGTCACAAAAGTGAATCTAAAGAACTTCTGTCACCTGAAACTACTCTGTACTGCAGCTGTGCTTGTTTCTCTTAAATTATCCTTAAATGGATTAGTAGTTGCAAACCCTCGATCTGAAGCTGTTTGCACAGTTTGTACAGGACAAGAAACCCATGCAGAAGGAGGTCCAAAGACTCCAGACCAGCTGTCTTTAGAGACAGTATTTTCTGCAGTCCTCTCTCTTTTTCATCTTTGTATTTTAATAAAAAAAGAAAATTCAGCCCAACACACTTTGCTTAACTTTTTCATTATTTAGAATGTGCATTTACATTTACTGCAGTGGTGACTGGAACTGAGGTGTCACAGATTTCAGTGCAGTGTGTCCATGCTTGGCTGTGACTCCTTCAGCTGTAACGTGAGGAAATAGCCACCCAGAAGCAATGCTGGCTCCAGCTGGACCGAGGCCGAGCTGCTGCAGCCGCTGCAGCCACTGAGATTCATCATAGTAATTAAGTGGTTGTTGATGTGAACGTCATCTCTCTGCTGTGCTGCTGCAGCTCACATGTTGTCATAGACACCTTTAAAGGACCAGACCAGGGTCTGAATGCGCCTCCCAGGATGCAGCTGCTTTCCACTGATTTCACGACATTGTTAACAGACTACTATCCTCACACCCACAAACAGTTTAGAGTCACCAGTTTACCTAGTCTGCTAAATAAAAATATTTCTCCTCCTGATTTTTATTTCTTTATATGGAAAGTATTACTGAAGGTTAACTGAACAAATAACAAATGAAAATTGGGGAGACTTGTTCCTGGATTACTCAGTATTTCTTTTTGTTAAAATTAGCTTCACCTCCTCTAGCTACAACATTAAAATGCTGCTTACATGTGAATGCATCAATTATAAATCCAGTATAATATATAAGTAATAACACACAGAAAAAGGCCATTCTCCTTTAATATACATTTACTTTTGAAACCATCTTACTCTGTTTTATCATGTATTTTTTCTCTCCTTTATACTATTGCTATTTTTATCTTAGTAAAAAATCTAAATATTTGCATACACCACTCCTGCACAGACCTGATCGACAAGTGGTTTGTCGCATTTTCCTATCATGGGTTTGCTTGTTCACAAGCCATACCTTTATTTTGAAGGTTGCGGCCGGACATCCTTGTTTACTCAAGCTGCTGGCTTGTCGTTGGCTGAAACTGCTGCACAACCTGTTTGTTGATCGCTCTATGTGGCTTATTAACACCCCGAGTCTATAATAAGCCGGGTTGATATCTCAGGGGGGCTTTGACTTGCCGTCGCCAGGAAGAGATAGCTAACTGTCTGACAGCAGACACAACAACATAACGACTATGTCCTAAGCTTGTATTTGGCGACGGAATCACACAGAGAGGTTTTTCAAATGTAGCTCGTTAGCTAGCTGCGTCGCGTACAGTGTACACACAGCCTTTTTTGTTCTGCTCTAGGACAGTCTCTGCATGACAAATTATTACCGATGTTAAGTATAGAGCATAAATAGCGGGTGTTTTGCCGAAAAACGTGTCAAGAATAATTCCTGGTTGTCAGCCTAAGCCCCGGGGCTAACCCCCGGTCGCCGACCGATTTAATGGCCGGAAATCCGAGGAGGGGCGCCGGTCTCATCGGCTTGATGAAGGACGCCTTTCAGCCCCACCAGCAGCCTATCCAGCCTCACCAACCTGCTGTGGTCGATAAGAAAATGGTGGAGAAATGTTGGAAACTCATGGATAAGGTATTGACAATGTTCTTAGAGTAAAAAGAAATCGTTATAAATATTTATAACATGGGACCGAAATTGTGAGTATTCACTGCCACGTCCCTCCTTTTCATGATCATTACCGTCAGAAATGGTTTGGACATGACCATCTTAGACATGGACTTTTGTATTAGTTATAGACACATTTTGCCTTAACCTTCTGTGAAACTGACATAGTATCAGATTTAGTTTCACACATCCACACAGAAAGGTATCTTGGCATTCAAATATGCAAATAGACTCGTGGAGATGTATGTTATCTGAATGGGAACATTTAATCCCAAACAAACAAGTACAATAGAAGTACTGAAGTGCAATAGTGTCCCTGATCCAATAGCCAATTGGGATAAATTATAGAGAATTAGGTCACTGTGGCAGTAATCTGTTGATCATTTGCCATGGACTTTAAAGGGCTCATAGATATCCCTGAGAGAACACCCTATAATTGGTATTATATCAAAAGGGAGCTCTGTGTGTGTTGTGTGTGACAAAGCTTTTTTTTTTTTTTTTACAGTATATCCTTTGCTGATTGTCACTTTAGTTTATCTTAAACACAATCCTAACTGTGTGAGACAGAGGAGAAGAAAGTAGAGAGAGATTAAGAGACAAGAGTTCACAGGAGATTAATTCAGGAGGGCTGGATTATAGAGGAGAGACAGCATGAGATAAAAGACAGAGTACGGTGTAACATTGCATGCCTGTGCTGTGCAAAGACGTGGCTGTGCTGCCTCATTTCACCTACAGTGTGATGTGTCATCATGTCACATGGCAAGGAGTGATCCCTTTTGCTGTGTTTTGCTTTGTTTCCTCTAAGGACTGGGTGATAATATGGTAATAGTGATTATTGCCCGGCAGTGGAACTGTATGGTGATATCAGGTTTATGTTGGAGGTTTTTAGTGAGTGGTTTTGTCTGATGTGATGTATAAGAGTGGAATAAATGGTTGTGTTGAACACTGCTTTAAGTACTTTATGTGCCTTTTGCATACATTTTCCAAATTGTTGCATATTGATATCAAAAGTGTGCAATAGATTTGCTGTAAAGTGTCACGTTATAAACAAAAGCAAACATTAAAAGTACGCAGACTGCACAGAGCTGTGAAAAAAACCCCCCCACAAACCATCATTGTTCCTGTTTTTTATTGGCCAGGCAGAAAGTAAAATGCTAAAAGAAACTGCTAAATTGAGCATCAGGTTAGTGTTTGCGCTCCTCATGACACGATGTTTGAAGAACTTTGAATGAAGGGAGACAGAATCGATATGTTGGTATTTTAAATGCTCTCATTCATGTTACAGCCAGCAATATTATTTTTATTATATTATTATTATTATATTATTGTTATTATTATAGCAATATTACTGCACAAGCACTACTCTTATTTTTGTCCCTCTAGTGCTGGGTCGTGCAGGACAAATCCAGTCTATTACAACTTGAGTTTTGTTTTCCAAGCACTGAGCATCATTCTCATCCATTCTCACACATAATCATAAAAAAAAAAAAAAAATCATATGATGAAGTTAAGTGCTGAGCTGTGGGAATATGGCAATATCGCTATAACTAAGTCAGATTACGCAGGGATCACAAGCGGTCAGATAATCTCTTGTAGTAAAGTGGTAAAATGATAAAGTGGTAAAATGATTTGCCAAACCGTCTATTGTAAAGAGTCATCACAGTTTACTGACCCAGTTCATGTTCCAGTTTTGACCTACAGCTTGTGTTGGTGTGTTCTCAGATCCCAGCAATTACTTTAGTGAGTGTCATGTCATCATAAGTGATAGAAATCAATACTAAGGAAATTAGACCCAAGTTCTAATAGACCTAAATGATCCTTTACAGATCGTGATATCTATTGATCAAGAGTTCTCCATAACTACAGACCAGGGGGCCAGATTCTCCAAGGTTGTTGTTATGCTGTTTGCATGCTAGATGAGTCTCAAAGGGCCATTGTGTTCCCTGTCCAGGTGGTGCGTTTGTGCCAGAACCCCAAGGTGGCATTGAAGAACAGCCCACCCTACATCCTGGACCTGCTTCCAGACACCTACCAGCACCTACGCACCATCCTGTCCCGGTACGAGGGCAAAATGGAGATCCTTGGGGAAAACGAGTATTTTCGTGTGGTCATGGAGAACTTGACCAACAAGACTAAGCAGACGATGAGCCTTTTTAAGGAGGCCAAGGAGAGGATGTATGAGGAGAACTCCCAGCCCAGGTAAGCTTATGTCCTGATGAAATGTCATCCATCCTTGAGGGGGGGGGTAAACAGGCTGTTGCATCAGGATGTGGCAAAGAAAAGAGCTGTGAAGCGGGGGAATTGTTTGGTTCACTGACAGAGGTGTTAAAGATTGAGAAATAAGCCCTGAAGATCATTATTGTAGGATATTACACAAATTAGCTGCTGCTGACTGTGTTATAAGTGTTTGGTCTAATCATTAATTTACTATGTCTTTAGAGAACAGAGTTGCACATAGTATTGATTGAGAATAGGTGGTCTCATCTAAACACTGAGTCAAAACCTTCGTATGTATCTAGTCCGTTGTTATTACAAGGTAGAGGCAAACCTTTTCCAAACAACTCTGTGTGAGTCCTCTGTCCTTTTTGTCTGTGCTACTGTTTTATTTCCATGACACTGTGAGAAACAGATTTTAGAAACGTGTCAGAGTAACTCATTTAGATCGCCATGGCCTAGTTTTTGAACAGCAGTTATTCTATTAGGCCAACATTAGGTTGGCAGTGACTTATTGGTGTAATTATAGTACAGGCTTGGGCTTTAACCACTACATCTAAGGAAAGAAACAGACAGACGCTGCTCTGTCATATTTCTTGTGATGCCACAGGTCTATGTAAAGTTGCTAAAAAGTTTTTTCCACACACCATTTTTGTACTTTCCGTGAAGTGTAACTCATGACATTTGGCGAAAGTGGACCAGTCGTGCAATCTGATGCAAAATCACTCGACTGTATGATAAGGGTGTGATTAAACTGTCGCAATCACATCCACTTCCTCTGTTTCTCAGAAAGCCATTACTAAGCGAAAGTTCATCCTTCCTCTGAAGCACGCTGATCTTTATCAAGCGTTTCTACATAAATTTTGTGTATCAACAACTGTGTGATTGTATGATTGTTGTTGGGGCTATTTTATACGGTGAATAATGTAGTTTATATTTAGGATTTTTTAAACTGTATTGGATTAGCTAGATTATGTGCTAAATCAAAAGTCCATCAGCATAGGACCTTTGTTGCAAACTGTGCTTTAGGGCCTACAGTATACCACAAGTGTACTCATGCTACTCCATCCTTCTGAATGTGTTTTTCAAACTAGAGGAAAGTGGGTTTTCTGTAGCTGCAAAATAGTGGTTCAGTGCTTAACAGAATGTAGAAGTCCCAAATTAGCAGCTAAGAATGTAAGGCCAGCAGATTGGTAAAGGTCAATAGAAAAAGCTGTGAAGGGCTGCAACTAACGCTTATTTTTCCTATCGATTTATATGCTGGTTATTTTCTTGATTCATCTCTTTGTTTGCAAATTTACAGAAAATATCCCAGGGTCCAAACTATGTGCCAACTTCAAATCTCATGTTTTCTGACCAACAGCCCAAAACCCAAAGATATTAAGTTTACAGTGCTATAAAACAGAAAAAAGGCAGAAAACGTTTAAGAATGTGGTCAAGTTTTTCAGCTTACTATAGGTAAATGAATCATGAAAACCATAGAAGATATTTAAAAGTGGAAAGTCTGATTCAGATTTTAAAGTAGGGAAGGTTTTAACATTACCATTCTCATATAAACGGTTTAACAGCATCTCTGTGTGTTGAAGTACAGAATGGTTGTGGTTGACTAAAAGCATTTGGAGGAATTATTAAGATTTACACTGTAAATACAAGTGTCATTTGTTTGATAATGGATAAGCAAATACACGCATGTTTGTTAAATAACTAATCTTTCTGATTTGAAGTGATTAAAACTTAATCTAATAATGTCCTGTACTAACTTGTATTTGTTTCTGTTTTTCCTTCTCTCTCTCCTCTCCTCTCACTCAGGCGAAACCTTACCAAGCTGTCTCTGATCTTCAGTCACATGCTGGCAGAGCTGAAAGCCATCTTCCCCAATGGCCTGTTTCAGGGCGACAACTTCAGGATCACCAAAGCTGATGCTGCTGAATTTTGGAGGAGGTCATTTGGGGATAAGTGAGTTTCAACTCTATCAAACATGTCTAAAAAAAGAAGTTAGTGAACTAAATTTAGTTTGGTATTTTAAAAGTTAATATCACGAGTGTTATTTATTTGTGCTTGTAAACTTCTGTTTGAAACTATCAAAATTGAGTGTTAATAATGGATTAACTATGCAAATTTGCATCTGCATGTTCTTGATTAGAACTAATTTAGCAAGTTTGTATGTTTGACTCTGTCTGTGTGACTCTGTTAAAGCCCACCTTTCACAGTGATTCTGTTTAATAAGTTGCTGTCTGAGCTTTAGGTTTTGAGATTGTGAGCATGATGGTATTCAAACCACGGTGACGGGTTAGGTTCATATAAAACCTGTTACTTTCTGTGACCCCACTCTTGAAGGACCATTGTGCCATGGAGGACATTTCGTCAGGCTCTCCACGAGTTTCACCCCATCAGCTCAGGCCTGGAGGCCATGGCCCTGAAGTCCACCATCGACCTCACCTGCAACGACTACATCTCAGTCTTTGAGTTTGACATCTTCACCAGGCTCTTCCAGGTAAGGCTCATCACGGTAGAGTGTTTTGGGGAGGTTAAGGTATCCACAAGTCCATGCTTTAATTCAATACAAGGCAAGTTTATTTATGTAGAATTCACTCTACCTTCATGAATTCTTCATAAAACCTCAATGTAAATTAAGAATGACATAGAACATTTGACACCTTGAAAGCTATACTGAATAAAAAAAGGATGCAGTGTGCAATTGTAGCTGTGGTCTGACATTTCAGACATGACATACATTTGGTTTTGACACAAGAGTATCAGTTTCGATCATCAGTCTTTCAGTGAGTCCAGCTCAAATCTCTGCTGTGTGGATACAGAAGTAGACAAGATGTACTCTGTGTGGAAACAGAAAGTCAGGACATTTTCATTTTCATCAAGCTTGAAAGCTGCTGTGCTGCCAACATTTGGATTTGAGCAAAATTTGTGTCTTGTATCTGCAGCTCTGTGTAATGTGATCCTGTTATTTGGGCATGTTTAAGTTTTGAGTTCAAGCTAACTGAACGAAGCCTTTGTTGCCTGCACCTCTTAATTTTTATAGGTTCAGTAGTAACCTTTAATTATTTATCATTAATGTGACTAAATTAAAGGTTGTGTTAAATTTTCTTGTAAACAAAAGTCATGTTTACATTTAGAGTTACAGTGTTATTGTTAAAATCGGCTTTGTTACATCTGTGTTTTTCTTGCTTGTACTTCTTTCCTGTCTTTGTTGGCACTTTGCTGCATTTCTTGGCATGCCACCACTACTTGTTCATCAGTGGAATAATGTGGAAGCATTGGAAGGAATGTGTAATGTGTCACCTGAAGGCTTGTGTGTGCATGTGCATCCACGAGAATGTCTTTACGCGTAGTGACCCACTCATAAAAGCGTTGCTCTGTAGTGCTAGTAGCTATCAGAAACTCTTTTTTTTTATGGCTTAAAGACGATCAAGTGAAATAAAAAACTTAACAGTGACACTTGATGAAAGAATTAGATTCCTTCCTGGATATTTTAAAATATGTTTTTGGGCAGTAAAGCTGAACAAAAAACAAGTGTTTTATGTATCATGAACATTTTTATTTGTGTCCATGTGTTTTGTAGCCATGGTCGTCTCTTCTAAGGAACTGGAACAGTCTGGCAGTCACACACCCTGGTTATATGGCCTTCCTAACCTATGACGAGGTCAAGGCCCGACTGCACAGGTTCATCCACAAACCTGGCAGGTGAGACACGGACGAGCACTTTGAACACTTAAAAAAAAAAAAAAAAAAAATCCTTTTATCCATTATCCCGCGTGGTCCAGAAATACATGGAACTACAGAAATGAAACTCTTTTGGATGAATCCAACAGTCTGATTCCCAACTGCATTAAACATGTTATTGCAATTGAACGCTGACTGTGTTCAATGCTGTCTTTCTTTCAGTTACATCTTCAGGCTGAGCTGCACCCGGCTGGGCCAGTGGGCAATCGGCTACGTGACAGCTGATGGGAACATCCTGCAGACCATCCCCCATAACAAACCACTTTTCCAAGCCCTCATTGATGGATACAGAGAGGGATTGTGAGTCCCACTGCAACACAGTATCAAAGCACCAATTTATATATTTTGGGGTATAGTATTTTCTAACCCCTGCTTTATGGAGGGGGTAGAAAAGATTAGAGATTGCTTTAACCACTGCAGAATTTTTAATCAGCATATTGAGGGAATGTCATTGTGTTTCACTGTGTTAATAACAGGGGACAAGAAACTCAAAGGGCCTATTCTTAACACACAAACCAGCAGTAGTTTGTTTATTAAGTGTATCTTTTTAAACATGTTTCTGTTTCCTGGGAAAAAAAACAACAAACATTTATTTTCATTGATGGATTGAACCCAAATAACAAACTTATAGAGAATCAAGACTGGAAGTTATTAAAGCTCTGTAATAACTTGGCACAATAAGGACAGAAGGTCAGAGTCACAGCTGCAATCTGTTCAATAACTAAGTGTGCGCTGAAGCCATCTTTCAAATTTGTGACTACATTGTTTATATGATTTGTATTGATTACAGACACGTCACTTCTGCTCTACAGTTTCATTCCAGTGGACTAAATTTAAGAGCAGGGGATTGTGAAAGGGTCTTACCCACAGAGAATTATCCCAAACACTTGTTCTTTTATCGACTTTCAACGAATTGTTTTGATTTTACAAATAAGTTAAGAAATTTTATATGATACTGAGCTGTGTGTGGATATGTGTGTGTGTTTAATGTATGTGGTTTTTCTCCAGCTATCTGTTCCCAGATGGCCGTGCTCAGAACCCAGACCTAACGGGGCTGTGTGAACCTTCTCCACAGGACCACATCAAAGTCACTCAGGTTTGTCTGTTTCTCATGTGAAACCCAGTCAACCAATTTCTTGTTTCTCAGGAAATCTGTGTGAAAGCAAATATGTGCAATAGTCACACTGCAAAAGGTGCATTAGGCAATTTAGAGCCACCATGTTATGCTATGATATGTAGAACATGGTACTGGCCGATAGAAGCAAAAACATAAATGATAAATTCTGAGTAAATTTGAATAAAACCATGACATGGTCTTCCTCCTCCTCCTTCGTCCCTGTAGGAGCAGTATGAGCTGTACTGTGAGATGGGCTCCACTTTCCAGCTTTGTAAGATCTGTGCAGAGAACGATAAGGATGTGAAGATCGAGCCCTGCAGGCACCTGATGTGCACCTCCTGTCTGACTGCCTGGCAGGTGAGGCTGTCTACTACACTCCATGAAGTTTAATCACACTGGTTTGTCGGAAGTGAAGTCTGTCTTTCTTTTCCTTGCTGGTGTAAACATTTATTTAAATTCAGCTTTGATTGGATTCAGGCTTTTTGCACTAAAATATTCACATTTACTGAAAATGAATATTGGCTCCTAATATTACTTATCTGTTCTGGCCTTCATTTTCCTCAGCTGCAGAGAAAACCAGGCAGTTTGAAACAAGCTTATATTGCATTACATATTATATAACATTTCATTAGAATTTCTTCTGTTTTATACTTCCTCATATTTTAGTAAGACGCTTTAAGGTTTTCCTTTGCCATTTTAAGTTACAGTCAATGAAACTCAACACTTCCTGCACTTATGCTTCACAATAAAAGCCTTCTAGCTGCTCAAAGAGCATAATCTCACCTGATCCTCGGAGGCTTTTCATTTGAAAGGTATACAGAAAATACTGAATTTCCTTAATGACTTTAGTTAACATGCATATCATGAAAAAATGATTGTTTAGTTTTGTACTGATGGGACATGTGCTTTGGGATGTACATAATGCTGAATTTACCTTGTGTTGACTGTGGATTTACATGATAAAGTCAGCACAACATTTTCATAGCATTATTGCCATAAGTGCAACATCATAATGTAGCAGTAGGTCTGTTATATACTAACACATAGACACACAACGGAACAGAAATACTATTTTCACTTACTAATTGATTAATTCAGAGTGATTTTCATTCTTAACCTTATCATTCTTATATGTTGCTGCTGATGAAATTCAACACTTTCTGCAGATGTACTGTAGGTTAGGTTTTGCCTAAAAACAATGTAAGTTTAGGTCTAACATGAAAATGTGGAAGAATTTAAAGCCTATGTAGCTGTTACTCTTAATCTTACTCACTGCTCTTTTTTCTCTCTGCTCCCCTGTGTGTACGTATCAGGAGTCGGAGGGTCAGGGCTGCCCATTTTGCCGCTGTGAGATTAAAGGCACAGAGCCCATCGTGGTGGACCCTTTCCACCCGAAGGCCAGCGGGGCTTCCTTCGCTGGTTTCCAGGGGTCCAGCAGAGCAGAAGCTGCTGGGAATGATGAGGAAGAAGACGATCGCCTGGAGGACCAGCACCTTGTGATGAGTAGGCTGGCCTGCACCAAGGTAAGAGGAGCACATAAAAATGGTTAATATGTCAGGAAGTACACAAAGTACACAAACATCAACCCAACAGATACTCACCTGATTAGATTTAGTCCCAAGAATCCACGTGGGATCATTTTAGTCTCTGCTGACTCAATTACCTGTTATAGAACTGTCTTTATTCCATTAGTTTAGATTATAGTAGCAAAATTGAAATGTCACTGCCGGTTTCATGCAGCATCTCTAAGTGTATGTGTGTGTGTGTGTGTGTGTGTGTGTGTGTGTGTGTGTGTGTGTGTGTGTGCAGGTTGAGCGTCCACCATCTCCAGTGTCTCAGCTGCCTCCAGTGCCCCCCAGACTGGACCTCTTGCAGCAGAGACCCTCCAGCTCCCACAGTGCACTGGGCCAGGGAGCCACAGCCAAGGTAAGAGTGTGTGTATGTGAGTGTGTTGACAGCGCTCTTCCATTTCCCACCACCCTTTAAGATATCACACATTCTTTCAAATGTACATGCAACAAACACCTCATGTAAGCACACATGAATGAGGAAGTCAAGTTCCTGTGCTAAATGTTGGTATTTCCAGTCATCAACTGTGTGCATGTAACATAAAGGTAAATGGTGAAGCCCGCCCACCAAAACCTCTGTTCTACTGCCTGCCTTACTAACACATCCAAGGAGGTGTGTGTGTGTGTGTGTGTGTGTGTGTGTGTGTGTGTGTGTGTGTGTGTGTGTGTGTGTGTGTGTGTGTGTGTGTGTGTGTGTGCGTGTGCGTGTGCGCGTGCGCGTGCGTGACTTCACATCTCTGCTAGATAATAACATCACCATCCCCTCCCACCTTCTCTCCAGATGGCAGCCACTCACAGAGACAAGCCTCTACCTCTGCCTCCAGCCCTGAGAGAGCTGCCCCCTCCTCCCCCTCCGGAGCGCCCCTCCCTGGTCGGCCAGGACTCCAGAGTCCAGAGGAGACCCCTGCCCTGCACCCCCGACCAGCCCGCCTGGGCTTCCAACTACATGGTGCCACGTCCTGCAACCAAGGCCCCCTCAGCCCTGTCCTCCGCCCCTCAGAGCAACGACGCCAGCGGAGAGGGAAGCAAACCCCAGTCAGCCACCAACGCCGTCTACTGTCTGGCTGCAAGGTATGGAGAGCTCTGCTGCTGTGACGTGCAGGGAATAGACAGGAACATCATGGGACAAGAACTGAGGAAGAGTGAACGGCTATAAATGGATGAATTAAAGTTATGCTATCATGATGACAGAATTTGGATACTGTCACTACACAAAGAGGTAATAGGGAAAATGGCTTTTGGTTCACTATCCCATCATGCTTTGTGGTTTCTATCAGGTCTCTGCCAGCCTCAGCGGTGATGAGTGGGGAGAGGCCGTCGTCAGACTGCGAGGAGAACGAGTACATGAGCCCCACCTCTCTTCCAGCCACTGGTGCTCCCTGGGTAATAACAGGCTCCTTGGTGCCTCCACCACCGGCCCAGGCAAACCAACACAATGACATCAGGTAAACACATCTGCCAGCTGTGCATTCATGCTGCCAGTCTCCTGTTCTGCTGCATCCAAAATGTCTTCTACTGGTGATTTTGTTGATAAGTGCATGGAAAAGCAGGTGCACAGGTGTTGCTGAGAAGGGGCCGGGTGAGCGTATATGAACAGTGGTCGCAGTCTCGACTAAATGCTGCAATAATGTATCCGGAGCAGTAATTTTTATGTCCACCAGGGCGCTCTGGAGCTTCAGTTTTGTTTGTCCAGGGATGCCCCGTTCTCAAACCAACAAGCGCCTCGCTCTTTACTTATTCGCTATTTTCAACCCCCTTGAGTAAGTATTTCAAAGCAGATGAGGCAGATGCAGTGCCAGAGAAGAATTTCTCTTTGATGAAATGATGACAGAGTCCAAAACACAGGAGCAGAATCCACACACCGCAGCGAGAATGAATAGAAAAACTTCTGGTGTGTGATGATGTTGTGATCCTAAAATCGGATATTTCTGAGGCCGACTGGGAAAAACGAATTTCTCAAGTTATATTATCAGAGGATGTGAAGAAATGTTGCTCATATTATAAGCAGAAAGGAGTTTTATTCAATATACTAAATATTTACTGTTTTATTGTCACTGAAATGTTTCCTTAATCGTACAATGTTCTTACTCATATATTGATAATATGACTTCAGACGTGATTGAAAATTAATTTTTGCTTGACAGACTTTTTGCTTTCCTTTGGTTAATAACTCGAGGTCTACAAATTTATTTCACACCAAAAAAGGACAAAATCCAGAAATCTAGACAGGACTAGATTTTGTGTAAAGAGCCTAGACACTAGAGAATAACTAATAATACTGTGGCTCTCCTAACAGAAATGTTTTTCTCTCTCTCTTTGTCTCTTTGTCCCAGCAGTGAGGTGGGTGAGAGTGACTCTGAGGACCCCCAGGTCTACGAGTCCATGTGTAACATCCAGGCCCAGGCTGGTTCATCTGAGACAGCACAGACCTCAGATCTGGGTAACAACACACCAAAATCTCTTCTTCTTCTTTTTTATTCTTGCACCAGAATGAGCCTGGCACTGAGCCCCTAACACAAGGACTCAAATACATGAATTCACTATTACTGATTATTTACTGTCACACATTACTTAATAAGAGGAGATAACCTCATTATTTTGAATTTATTTCATATAGAGAAAGAAGGACGGTGTTCCTTTAGAAAAATGTAATAAGTGATGTGTTAAAGTACAGATGCAGTCTCAACATGAACTGAACATTTCAAGCAAGGTATTGTTTACGTCATAGATATGGTTTCACGTCGTTTTCTTTTCTCTGGTCACTCGCCGTACGTGATGATCTGTGTGTTGTATATTAACAACAGGCGCTCATCATTGCTGTGCTTGTTTTTCAGACCTCCCTCAACGTTCGGCCGTGGACTCCCAGGACAATAACGAGGAGACCGGTGTGGAGGATGTTTACGAGTACGACTGTCCCAGACCCGTCGTCCCTCCGGCCCCCACCAGAAGAACCCTGTCGGACGTCAGCGGCCCCTCAGCTGCCTTCAGCAGCCTCAGCCTGGATGGTGCAGTAGAAACAAGTATGTATTTCTACAAGTTTTTATGCTTTAAAAATAATCTTCTGTCTTGGGCTAAAATGCAACTAGTCCCAGATTTAAAGACCCTCTGTGTAGTGCAAGCCCCTCAATCATGCTGTTTACCAGGTGGTACTCGTAGCTCGTGGTAAACGGGTATGAAACCTGTACAGGCCCGTAGTGCAACCAACTAACCAACAAAAATCAAAAGCCTCTGTATTCCCCTCAGGTGCTTAAATCTAACTCAGTTCTCATGGTAACTAACTCATCTGCTTAACTGTGTGTTTCCAGGTATGTTTGCACCAGTTATTGACCCCCCTGTCTCCCGTCCCCCGAAACCTCTCCCCCGGCGAGCCAACTCCGACCGACGGCCTCGGCCTGTAAACCGTGAATATTCTGCTCCGCTGCCGGACCTCCCTGGTGCCTCCTCCTCTGCCTCGGCCTCTTCCCCTCCTCCTCCTCCTCCCGCGGGCCCTGGGAACCTGGCCCTCAATGGGGAGATTGAATGCCTGATGTCCCAAGGCTACTCCATCCAGGACATCCAGAAAGCCCTGATGATCGCCCAGAACAACCTGGAGACGGCCAAGAACATCCTGCGCGAGTTCGTCTCCATCCCCTCCACGGCGCACATCGCCACATAGTCGCTCCAGTGACGCTCATCCTCTCGGTCTCGTCTCTGTCTCCACTCTGTGCCATTATCATGGATAGCATTTACCAAGCACTTTCCTGCAGGGCCACAAGTACTTGCCAAAAGGTTTTACTCAGAGGAGCAATGCTGCATTCATGTCGTATCAGAAGACGAACAAGATAACAACAGCTACATCAAGTTTTTAATCCTTGAAATACCCATAAAAAGTCCTTTTTTTGCTTTTCTAAAAGGAATTTTAAGATGAAAATATATAATTTTGATTAACCTGGGCTATTGTTATGCCATTTCCAAGTAGTTGACATTGAAACCTCAGAATCTCGAACTTTTAGTTTGTTTGAAGGAGCAGCTCAGTCGTAGAGGCACGCAGCAGATCTGATACGACCTGAACGCAGCATTCACGGAGAGTCAAAGCCTTGAAGGTGAGCTCTCTGTAGCGAAGCTTTGACGCCCCGCTGTACTTGGCTGAGGTCGACTCGTGCTGTGGCAGCCCCCCCCCCCTCCTCAGTCTGAGTACCTTCTCTCATTAAGCTACGTGTTGTTGAACAGTCGAGGCATCGCTGTGTGTTTGACTCGGTGTCCCGCTGCAGGCAGCCGTTCAGTTTGGTGCTTTACAAGCTTCTTGGGCAAAATTGTGGCGTACGAATATGTAGCGACACGAGCTCGGTCGGAAATTTAGTGATTAACTCCGTGGCGTGTGTGTGTGTGTGTGTGTGTGTGCGTGCGTGCGTGTGTGTGTGCGTGCATGCGTGTGTGCATGTGCTCATGCTGAAGAATGTGAATGTTCAGTTGCAGTGCAGTATTGCAGGGCTTCATGTCGTACGCGTCACTGTGGCTCGCTCCGTTTTCGATGGTTTTTTGACAAGTTGAACACGACTCCATATCTCCTCGCAGCTCCCGGATCAATGATGGTTCTATAATGAAATAACAAGTTTAATGTTTAAGTACTCTCATAACGTGTTGTGCTGTGTGTGGTACTAACAATGGCAGAATTTTTTGAGAAGTTCATTCTTTCATTTAATTCCCTGGTTTCCTGCCGCCTGTGGAGGTGGCCTGTCACTGAAGGCTGATTTATTTAGTCAAAAGCTTATGTATACTCATATAGTTTCTTACTAAAAAAAAGTGAAAAGACTTTAACATGAACTGTTAGATTTCCTCTTACATGTTTATGAACCCACGTTTCAACCCAGAACAGCTTCACTGGGTTTAGTGAAAAATCAAATTGAAGGGATTTACACTGAGCTCTAAAGCAAAAAGACTGAAGGTGGTGTGATGTCGCGTGGACTCAGGTACTCAGCATTAAGCCGGGGTTGTATGTACTGATGAATGAACCGATGCTGAAAGGACACATAGGGATGATGTAATAATGTTGGCAGTGTTGTGGACTCATGACACCTTCTTACAGAAACATTCCAGTGATTCAGTTTTCTTGCTTTTTGTTTCCTTACTCGCATTAGATTTACCACATAACTTGTTATATTTCATACTTTTAAAACCATTTTGCACTTTTTTTCCACCCAAACATCATCAACTTCCTCCGATTTCACACTCTTCAGATTCGGTTACAATAATCAGACGTATTACATTTCAGTCACTCAGCAGCTCGTGAAAGTCGTTACAGGGCGAATGTCGAAGATACGAGTTCGCTGGTTGGTGTCCGAACCCTCGAAGCAGTTTAAGATCACGATTAGTTGATTAATCGATTAGTAGATCGGCAGAAAAGTAATCTGCAGCTATTTGATAATCGATTCATTATTTAAGACAGTTTCTATTGAGCAAAAAATATCAATATTATCACATTCCATAGTTTCAGCTTTTCACTTGTGTAGTTGCTTTATTCGTCTTTGAAGACGTCAGCGTGGGCTTTAGGAAATTATAACAGGCATTTTTTTATGGACATTTTATAGATAAAATGAATAATCGAGGAAATGATCAGACTATCACTACGTGTTGGAACAAATTATGCTCTTGTTTCTGACAGAGTTTTGTTGCTGTAGCAGCAGCACCTATCTGACAACAGTGATGTCAGCTGGTCGGTCCAGACTGAAATATCTCAACAACTATTTTGATGAATTGCTATGAAATTTGATGCAAACATTCATGGTCCCCAGAGGATGAATTCTGCTGACTTTAGTGATCCTCTGACCTTTAGCGCCACCTGCAGCTTAAGTTTGTACTGTAGTAAGTTTAACCGTACAAATACCTGCAAAACTAATGACACCCATCAGCCTCAGCTCTACTGTGTGTCCAGTAATTTTCACATTAATCATTGGTCTTGTTATTGTGAGCGTGTTAGCATAATGATGTTAGCAGTACCTAAGTACAGCCTCACAGAACGGCTAGTTTAGTATTTTTTTTTTCCACCTTGAAAGTTGCTAAAGAGATTGCCGACCATCTAGTGAGAGCGTATCATCAACAGTCTTTCTGTAAATAATTGAATGACCTGCTGAGTGATGAAATGAGTTTGAGTTGGATCAGGACCGGTCCGAGTCTCGAGTCCTCCATTCAGAGTCATCAAGTGGACTTCATTCACATCCATTCTCCGACTAAATATCCAAATGAACAGCAAACTAAATGCTTGGGATAGGGTTAGTTCTGAAGTGGTGGACTTCACTCAGGCGTTTAGATTAGTTTCCAGTGGACCAACAGGCACCACACCTTTACCTTGATGATACATCAGCCTATCAGAGGGCTTTTGATGTCATCTACACGAGGGCTTGTATATTAACCCAACCACAGGCACATTTAGAGCAAAGATGAAAAGATGTCAGAGTCATCAAAGCAGGGAGTCTCATTCATCTGATCTGAGTGCAGGGCCACATCAGTGCAGAATACAAATGTGTAGTAAGAGAAGCTCCATTCACTGTAAAAGAAGGCTGTTCCTTAGTAATGTGCACATTTAGGAACACAACCAGATACAAGACGGGGCTGAGCTTCTCGTTTCCACTTTCACATTAACAGGAAAACACGTCTGATGTTTCCTGTTTGCCTATGGGTGCAATTTCTCCTTTTTCTCTTCCAAAATAGATCTGCAGTGGTCACATGATTTCTGCAGTAAAACACACACAGTAAATGTGCCTTCTGTCAATCACAGCCTGCACATGACAGCAGAGAAACCAAAACACTTAACTCCACATTTACTGCTTAAATGAAGTAGAAATCTACACGGCTTCATTTCATTCATTCCTGACAGTGTTTTGTCTCTTTCAGTAACAAAATATTAGGAGTTTGGAGTTGGTTCTAAACATGGGAAATGTTGGGCCATTCGACAGAATCACAGGAGGTATCAAAAACCGATAATTAGAGTCCAATCAAAAATATTTGAGGGTTAAATAAATAGTTGTTATGGACGTTTCACATAAATTCGGTAGATAAAAAAAATTGTGATCAAACTTTTTAGAACATTGAAAACATAGTGCACCCTTGTGGACAAACTATGTTATAGCAACAGTTTCTAAATGTCTGTAATCAGATCATTGTCAGGGTAGTGCAGCGCATTTATCAAAGGAGATTTAGTTACAGAAAAGTCCGCCTAATGTCATTAAAGTACTTCAGATACATTGATGTAAAACAAAAAGGAAATGCAGTAAAATGAGCAACAGCTCAAACCATGTTGGAACAGTGAAGTGTAGATTGATCACATCCCTGCAGACCGAGGCTGAGGTTGGCGAGTCTGGCCTCTCACTTTTCTGTCTTGCTGTCAGTCCATAGAAATCTTACAGCTTTAATTGCCCCAGACCAAAAGCATTTCAAAGCAGCAAGCTGCCCCTTCATGTTGCCCCCCTCAGCTCGTTTTGATATCCAGAGGATGTGTCGTCAGTCCTTTGGCTTTGTGCTCTCTTGATCTCAGCGTTTGAACACTAACAGGGACTAACTCTTGACCATCAAAGTGCCGCTGTGTGAGGATACACTTGAGGCTGACATCACTGCCAGAGGCTCTGCTGGCTCACACAACGCACACACACACATAAAGTACACACACACACAGTACACACACACACACAAACATTTCCCCTCAGAGTCACTGGTTAATGATTTATGTGGTATAATCATGTTAACTAGCCTTTTCAACAGGAACTTGCCTACTAAAAAGTTGTCTTCATGGCTTCGTTATTGCCTGTGTAAATATGATTTTATTTATTGTCTTTTTAATATCCTCAGCATTCATTGTGTTGCCATGTTTTCATGCCTAAGCCATTAAGATTTTTAATTAAACAGTATTTTCTTTAACATTTGATCAATGTGGTTTGTTCGTAATGACTTAAGGCTCTAATTCACTGTCTTCACCTCATCTGCAAAAGTCCAAAGATATTAACATTAACATACATACATGCACCTGTAGTAATGTCCTGTGGTAAAGTTTATTAACAGGTCAATAAGTCTTATTTTGACGATGTATTCATAAAATTAGTGACGCTGAGGACCATGCACCAACTACTGTAAGGGATGGGTGTAGGTATATTTTTAGTATTCATTTCTAGTACTTGGTCTCAGTGCATCAGTTAGAGTCCTCTTTACATACGTGCAGTGTGATCAATACTTTTTAAAGGATAAATAAAATAAAAAGAGGTGCATTTCAGATATGTCAGCGTCATCAGTAAAGGCTAAAAGTATAATTATCTAGCATTTTATACAACTATTCTCCTTCATCTCAAGAGGCTAGCATTGTCTTCACCTGGAGTTGTACCCTTCATGCTAAATGAACAGAGGAATGGCTGATTTGTTTTGCAGTGAGACAGGCAGCTCGGAGATTGCGGTGCCTGAATTCGTTGCAGATGTGAGCTGTGTTTTCTGTCCTTCCTTCCTCCACGCTCCAGCTGGAAATCTGAGCTACTGCTGGAGTCATTTCCAGCTCGTGCTGACAGCGGTTTGGAGGCAGCGCTCCTTCCTGTCTCCTCACTGTGGGACTGCGCCGCGCGAACACAGAGCACACTGAAGTGGCTGTTGTTCTGGTTCATGGTGAGCCCCTCGGGCATAAGAAAAGCCCAACAGTGATTATAATCCAACTTCTTTCATACCGCTGCAAAAAAAAAAAAAAATAGAAAACAGTCTCTTTAAATGAAACATTTTTATTTGGCATTATTTTCTTGCAAAAAATATAAAAAAAAAAAAAAAACGCAAGCATCAAAGGATCACATGTACAGTACTTAATTTACAAACATTTAGAAAAAAAAACATGACTGCAATGTTTACTTTAAAACTTATTTTTTTTCCCACTGATGAAAAATCCAGAACCAAACAAAGAATGTCATATTTAAAGTTAAACTGAGAAGACGAGGTGCAGATTTACTGTCTAGATCAAATCAGAAATACCAGCCTGCACTCATGAGGCGGTTGGTGTTATGGCTTTGTGCAGCTCTTCTAAACCACAATGACAGCATCTCATTTCTTGCCTGAGGACGTCCTGAACCTGGATATTTCTACAACTTTAACATCTCAACTCAGTGGAGGAAAAAAACAAAAAACAAAGATTACCAGAAAACATGTCACTACTTTGTTAATCTTGCAAGTCATCGGGGCAATGTGGCGCTCAGCAACAAAAAGTCAAAAACCTTTTCACAATAACCTAAACAGTGAGCGATCAGTACGTCATATTCACAACACGGGCCTGAAGCAGCACACCAGTGTTCGTTCATGTTTCAGCCGATTTACTATAAAAAAAAAAATAAAAAAAATATCAGGGAGATGAACCTCTTTGCTAAACTTGCTGTAGATGAGCGCCCTTTGTGCCTCTCAGCCATTATTACTGTTGAGTCAGAGATAAACAACCGCTTTGCTGAAACAAATCTCTGATGATCTTTTAAAAGCCCAAACTTGGCTATTTGCTAATTTGTCATTTCAAAAACACGTATTGCTCTTCTAAAGGGATTTCAAGAATCCACAGAGACTCTTTGACCCGTCTGGATTTGGGAAAAAAAGAAATATTGTGGAAATATCTTGTATAAATGAATGTACAAATAGAACAGAAAAATGCAACAGATATTACAACTTTTCACTTCAGGAAAGTTTGTTATTTTTGGACTTGTTTGATCCTATTTTGATCCAGATGGTTTGAAGATTTTCAAAACACCTTCAAAACAGCAGCAAGTGTTGCGTAATGACCTGGATTTTCTAACTGCCCACCCTCCACACTCTTAGCTCTATGACTCAAATTTAGTTATAATACAAACTGGAGCGAGCTGTTGATTGACATTATATGTGTTCCTACCTTCCACAGCTCTACATTAGTTTCAATCTTTAAAAACAACAACAATGAAACTTGCTGTAGAGGTCGGTCATCATCAGTGTTTCATGATAGAGATTCGTGGTAATGCAGAGCAGATCTTTCTAATCAATCTGCGGTAAAAACTGCATTACCGTGGCATAACATTGTAACTGAACAGAAAACTCAGTGATGGATTTTAAAAGTCAAGCAAGTTTCCAGTGTCAGTCTGTTGATTCTCAAACTGAAAACAAAAACCAGCGACCGCCTGAAAAGAAAGAAATGATTGTAGAAACTAATGATTGTTGTGTGTAGTAAAAGGCTTAAACATGCATAACACTGAAACACGTCTTCAGGCTCAACTACCTCTTAGTGGAAACAAAGAAAACACACAGAGCAAACCAAAGAAACAAACAAAAAAAAAAATTCAGTGTATGATGCATTCTCAAAACAGGCACAGCAGATCACTAACCTTTGACCTTTTCACCTTCAGTAACAGTCCAAGGCCACCACTAACAGGTCTGTACACTACATGTATTTACAAACAGTACAAGGGCTTGACAGTAGTTTGCAAAAGAAAGGCAGCCAGTGTGTGATTGACAGTGTTTATAGATGTTATAACTGTTGTGGGTTTCTCGCCTTTCAAGCTTTAGTGTCTCCTGATGGTTTCACTTTTCCCGCAAAAAAAAAACAAGACACTGTTGCTTGAGGAAATGTCTCAGATTTCAACATTAATTTCTACAAATATTGGAGTCAATCAAAAGTCAAACTGAAGCAAACACACCGACGAGCCTTCCCTCAGTGTGACTGTGAGCTGCCGCAGAGGAGCAGCTAGTGTTTTGGTCTCTGACGTCATGTCCCGTCCTGAAACTCACCTGGACCCATGAACACGGATCAACATGCACATGACCCAGACGCTACCAAGAACTGAAAATCTGAGTGCCAAAATATCTTAAATAACAAAATATATATAATATATACACTTTCATAAAAAACAAAAACAAGAGTTGACGCTGCGTACGAGACGACGTCATACACACACTGAACAACAGCCAAGAGTTGAACATAGTTGGAGGAAATAGTACAAAACAAGTGGAGGAACTGAATGTTTCAGGAAGCAAACATTCACCTGAAAGGAAATACACATCTGTACATACATACCTGTGTGTGTGTGTGTGTGTGTGTGTGTGTGTGTGTGTGTGTGTGTGTGTGTCTGTGTGTAAGGTGAGCATGGATGTGGTTGTGTGTTGCTGTCTAAATCTACTGAATACTGCTGAGAACAAAGCATGATGGGGGAATGTCCGGACAGTGGGGTGGGTGTTACCCTGCAGGTCACAGATCAGTGGGCGCCTCCTCTGCTCCAACACACACACACTGACTTCATGTGTCCTGCCTCCTGCTGCACGACGTCACTGCAGAACCGCCGGGGACTTTACTGAGGGAGACAGAGGAGGACGTCAGCGCAACGTAAACTTCTACACAATATTTTAGCTACAGTCACTGCACATGACGTCTGAGCTGAATTTATTGAAGCAACATGAAACACAATACTGTATATATCGTCATGCCCCAGGTCCTTTAAATTCTCATATTCATTCTGCTGTCTAGCTGCTACTAGCCGTCATTTTAGCCACATTTAACAGCCAAGCAGGAAACATTAAGACACTGGAGATAATATTGAAAAACATGAAACTGTCTCTTCGAGCCTCAAACACTCTGTTGGTGCTGCTGTGAATCTAAATCAGGTCCAGACATGCTCATGTCATCAGTTTGTTTTCTGCATGTTAGCAGTTGTTGCAGGTTTATTTATAACCATTAAATAATTGATGGGAAAACCCCTTAAATTATTAATATTAACTAATATTATCCCAAATACACCACATATTCAACTGAAATGGCGTCTGCGTAGTGACGGTGAAGTGGCTGTAACTGAGCACACTCTGCATTTCCTGACATGCATCTGTGTTTACCTCTAGCGCCTCCCTCAGGTCAAACTTTACACTGTAGCTTCACAACTAAGAAAACAAAAGAAGCGTAAAGGTGGGTGTATGACGATTGTTGTGGGACATAGTGGATATGGCAGCCTCTAGGGGACACTAGCAGGTCTTCTGAGTCCTGTTTTTTTTTTTTCCCTTGTGAAATAATGACACTATTCATCCACCACAATAGTTACCTTGTCGCTAGGGCCCTTTTTGTCTCCGTTGACGGCCTTTAGCAGGACGGCTTCCTCATTCTTTGTGTTGCTCTTCATCTCCACAACAATGTCATCTTTGGTGGTCTTCTCTTTGGTACTGTCAACAGAAACGACAGTAGGAAACGGAGGACTTCACAGGTGCTCTCGGTTCTGAGGAACAGACCTGACCCACCCTGAGGTTCTCCGCTGTGTAGTCGGGTGAGTTCGGGCCTCATTTTACTGACGAGGGTCTGGAGTCTGTTTCCAAGTGACGAGAACTGAGGCCAAGCTTATTTTTAGGAAAATCAGTAGCCTAACACTATTTAAGATATTAAATTACAATTTAAATCATCAAAATTTGGTTCCCAGATATTAAACAGGTTAGAGCGTTGAGCTTCTAGTTTTCACTCAGTGATAAAATCGAAGCACAGCCTTCGTCTCTAGCTCTGTATGATGATGTCGTCAGACGATTAAACCAGGATTTTAGCAGCAGCTCGGAGATGGCTTGTAAGTGACTGCTGGTTAACACGTAGTCTTAATGGGGCGCGTATGTGAGCACAGAGAGGAGAGAGGCAAACGGATAAAGGTTGAAACCGGACGACATGAGACAGAATGCAAATAACCTACGACGCTGGCCAGTGCAGAGAAATAAGATATATCCGGCTTTGCCCTCACAGACGACACATGCTCAACACATCAATTCATTGTTGGTCTTTTCAGGGGATTGGTTGACACTATGTAAAATATAAAAATATCAGCAGTGAAAAAGTGTTGTTGTGTGGTTCTGCAGACATTATAGACAGATTTAGAAGAGACAGTACTCACATCTCCTGCTTCCCCGAGCGTCCACAGGGGATCTTTCCCTTCTTATGAAGGAAGTAGAGAACACTGCCGAGGATGGCCAGCAGCAGCAGACACAGTATGATCACCACTATGATGACTCCACTGTCCTCAGCTACACAAACACACACACACACACACACGGACAGAACGGAGACGGCGAGACAAGTGCACGTTAGTGTCGTTGCATTCCAGGCAAAACTTCTCATCTCATAGTTTGACAGCAGTGATGTTTAGAGCTGATTGTTGCCACCACGAATGACAGTGACAGTAGGTAGAGCCTTGGCTTGACTGTTGAGCAGCCAAATAAAACTACTGAGATCATGACTCTCCACACAAACCAAGTCACATCTGAGCATCAACTTCTGGACAAAGTTCTGAGGGGAAACAGGCTGGATTCTGTGTATTTTTTACTTCACCAATTTTACACATAAAAGTCAGTTCACTATTCCTGTGGAGAACTACTCCGCCTGTGAAAACAGTTGCGACCGTTGTATAAAGTCTTCTGAGTCTCTCAGTTTGAGATTAATGGTATAACAGAAAGCCTGTGATACAAACTGGGAGTGTGAATTTGAAAGACCTGCGATGTTTTTTTTCCTCACACAAAGAGTCTGATAAAAAAACATGCTGTCATAGGACGTGTAGGAGTCTCTGTCTCTGTAACTTGACTCACACTTTCCAAGCTCTTTGTCTCTGGCACGTCTCCCTACTTTACAGCATAGCAATACTAGATTGCTGAAGTGCCCTTTTTAAAATAAAGAAAAGGTCAATTCCTCACCTTCAAATTACACCACTTCAACCAAATTGTCTCTTAAGCGGCTTATTTAACAAAGTCCATTTCCTCATGCATAAGAAATAATTAGCAGAGCGTGAAATTATGTGCGTTACATTTCAGCGTTATTAAAGCGACAGGATGATGCAGCGCACAAAAGTGTGATTTATTTCTCTCAGCATCTGTGACCTTAAGCCTTCATAACTGACCTTACATTGATCACATTATCCACCCAGATCGTGAAAAAGATTCACTTTAAATTTATAATTAGCTGGATACGTTTGTTTTAGAGGCACAATTCAAAAGAAAAACAAAACGTTTTTCACTCAATTTATCATTTCAAGCCTCGTCTAATATTCTTATAGGGACTGGGAAGTTGTATTCCTCTTCGTAGTCTAATTGTCTAATATTTTTAAATAACTTTTCTCACCTAACATCTAATATCACTAAAATATTCTTTTAAAATATACTTAGTGGAAAAAAAATCTGTGTTGGGCAGGTGCAAAGTAACAAAAACTAAATTTTACATTACTACTAGTGGAGCAGGGACAAACTATTCTTCTAGCTGGTTCTGAATGTCTTCCTTGCCCTCAGGATGGAGCGCTACTCTGGTGCTATTCAGTGGCAGTGCCGGTTGAAAGCAATTATGCAGCTACTAATTAAAACAGTACTAAGTCAGTAAACCCCCCCCCCCCCCATGCAGGACATTTGCATCCACAATTTGCTGATATTTAGTGGAATCCATTCTTGCCTCTATCCGTGCAGCAGCTCCTGTGCCACCGGCTGCCACACAGCCCCAAGGCAGAATATTTCCACCCCCATACCTAACAGCTGGCAAAGGAAGGGGGGGGGGGGGTTACTATGTACTGACTTAGTAAAGTGCCCAAACTTTTGTGCATTAACATTTGTTTGCTGCAGGGGTTGCATTTACTTGTTTTGACTAAAACCAAAAATTTAAACATGTCCTTTGTCCAGAGGTCCAAACTTTTGCATCGCATTGTGATTTTATTTTGTAATTTCAGTCGGTGCATCCTGTGCAAAGTTTCTTTAAATACACAGGAAGACATGTATTTTCTAGTTGTTTGTAATAATACAACAACTGTATTCATGACACACCAAGATCAAGACTGCCACAACCAACACAGCAGAAAGTAATGCTGTAAACAAGAGATTCCATCGTAACCAAAGTGCAAACAAAACACTGGGCCGCTATTGGTCAACTGTGCCCGTGCACTGCTGTTAAACTAACGTCACTGTTTCCAGATTCGCAAAGGAGCGTGTCCAAGATGATGATGATGAAAGAATGAGAAGAATATCAGTGTACTACCACTAGCACAGAAAAAATAAATAAATCAGAAGTCATGAGACACATTGTTTTAATTCGCCAACATAAAAGTTTCCCCGACTGTTCCATCTCTCCATGGCGTGATCACGCAGCTACAGTAGAGCCCCCTCACCCTCCACCCAACACCTGAGATGAACTTTCCTCGTTCACCCTCCTAACCATGTGAGTTTGTTTGGTGAATATTTTGCTGAAAAAAACAAAAACACATAGAAAAAATAACAGAACTGAATATTTTGGCCATTAATATAACAAATATATATATAAAAAAAAATCGCACAAAAATGTAAATTTCTCATCCCTAAGCTCATAACTGTTGCAGTAAAGTTTTGAAAAGCCTGTGGATTTGAGTAATTAAGAGGCAATCCGGTCGTTTGCTGCAGCTGGGAGCTCATTTTACATTTAGATTAGAATTTTCAAATCAGGAGACAAAGACGTGAGCAGAGAGGTGGAACAGAAGAGATACTGTACATCATTGTTTTCACTCCCGAATGTTGTTTCTCTTGGAGGTTTTACATAATATATTACCATTTCCTCTTCTGAACCAGTTTGTCACCGAGTATCTGAATAGTGTGGTAAACAGGTACAAAATACAGAGGGTAAAATATAGTACGTATGTATCGTCCATTGATACTGCAACAATTTAAATCTAGTTTTAACAGGACTTTTTCACAGCAGACTTTCTGTCACGGTAGGAAAAAAAACACAGGTGTTGCTAATAACATTAACGATGGCTCTGCTCAGTTCAAGTGTCCCAGTGAGACACAGTGAGACACAGTGTGGCAGTGAGCCCGCAGCATAACTCTGCCATCATTCATTTCATTATTTACAACTGTGCTTTTCCTACTGCAAAATGTCTCAAAATGTAGAAAGAAAAGGTCTATAGTGTAACATTAGGCATAATATTATCAACTTAACATTAAGATCACTGCATTAAGCTTGCCTCCTGTTATTTTAAGACTTTATAATTAAATGATACAAATGGATTTCTGGCCACAACCCACCAAGATGATGATCCAAGATTTCTCCAAACTTGACAGAGGTGCTTTATGGAGTGATTTATTTGTTTTTCTTGCAGATCTTTTATGTAATAAAGGAAAAGTAAATGCTTTTCCTGCTCAGACTCAGTCTCCCTCTGCCTGGACTAAATGTACAACTGGAGTGAAACCTCACAGAGAAGACACAAAGACTCATAAATTTACTATCAGTTTGGGCCGAAATTATTATTAGCCTTCACCTAAAAGTGATACTATTATGCTTTGAATTATCCAGATCAGCCTTCTGCATACACTGAATTCATGAAATCTGAGAAACTAAGACAGCGCAGCGCTTTTTCTGGTTCTCAGTGTCACAACACAGTGATGTCATTTACTGTTAAAGTAGATCTTCTTCCACTTCTGGTTGAGTGTGTGTAGAAACTCTCTGCTCTGAGGGACTTTACCCGTGTTTTTATTCCACTCAAACTGACTGTGTGACTCCTTAAAAGATATTCTCAGTGAATAATTACAGAAGCAAGCAAATATATATTTCCTGAGAGGAACACAACACTCTGCTCTAAATGTACTTCACATTGTTTTTTTGTTTTGTTTTTTTTACGGGTGCCCATTGTATTCCCTGCAGGCTAGTGAAGATTTTAAGGGTATGAAGTGACGGCTCAGATAAAGTCAGAAAATTGCCTCATAATAATGCCCCTCTCCATACTTAACTGCAGTTTTTCCTGGTATGTAAAAATCCACTATAAAACACGAGACTGTCTGGAAAAGTCAGTAAATGTGAGTCACTGTTTTGTGTCTAACGTGTTTTGTTTGTTTAAAAAAAAAAAAAAAAAGTCGGATGTACAAATAATGTATACCACTGCAGAGCATTTGGTCCGAGACTTATAATGAATGTTGTGCTTGCATTTGCTGCTGTTATGATTTTTCACACTATATCAAACAGAATATTCAATATGCCCACAGGCCATCCTAAAGATCTGCCAGCAAACCAAAGACAGTCCTGTTCTAGAGTCTCTGCATGAAAGTCATAAATAATGGATGTAGTCCAACCCTTCATTGTCACAGACAGAACTCAGTCTAAAGTCAGAGGCAGAAGAGACCTTGAGAGAGGGAAAGTTTTTAACATGAAGAGACGTTAGGACAACGGTCTTACCAGGAGAGAAGGGAGCAGTTGTGGTGACCCTGGGAACTGTGAACAAGTAGAACAACACTTAGAGTGGGCAGCTGTCCACCAACATTACCCCAATACACACACACACACACACACACACACCATATTCAATTTGATCCCAGTTGCTTTGGTAATTACACACAATCCCATATTCCTCTGGAGATGACTATGTGTAATGGCGCCTACAGACTGAGGATATAAATTCATTGCAGGCCACACGGTACAACATGGGACTCATCAACTTTAGTACGACAACAAATTTTGGGGTTATGTAGACTATGTAGAAACGAGGCAAGTAAAGAATAAAACTTGCAGCGTGTCATCCATCTGCACCGTTACAGTGGTAAACAATAAATGCGTCATTTCATGCTGCATTCCTATTGGTTGGTTCGTAAACTTTAACACTGTTTAATGCAAATGTTAGATTGTTGATGATTTCTGCTCTAAAGGCCAAGGATGCAAGAAATCACACGGTTTCAGAATATTGAAAAAATAATTGTTCAATCATTTCAAAACCTGAAGCGGTTTCCTCTCCACCCTGTTAATCCACATCATGATGCACTCACACAGTGAGAGAGAGAGAAAAGCTCTTACTGGCTTTGACGCTGAAAGCCTTCACCTCAGTGCCCATGTCATTGGAAGCATTGCACTGAGCGCTGATGTCCGAGGTGACCTTGACTGACACCACACTGTGGGTCATGTGCTCATTTGCCTTGCTCACCACCTCGTGCCACCTCTGCAGAGACACACACACACACACACACACACTTTGATGATGGGAATAACGTACATTTCTCTCTTTACAACTCTGGGCATCAACTGCTATTGGCAAATGAAGGTCATGAGACTCCAAAATACTGCTGGTCGTCTCACGAGAAAAAAGATTATAATCTCATGGTTGGCTGAGGAGACGCCTCACGTGACGAGCTGCAATATAACACTATACAGTAATGTATGTAAAAGAGGTTTCACCTGCAACTCACCAAAACCACACTCACAGAGCTGCTCTGTGACGAGCTGCTCCAACAAACACTTCAAAAACCAAAAAACCAGACCAGGAGTCTGCCTGCAGATCTACTGCTGGCTATGTTTCAACTTTTACAGTTTCACTTATTTCAAAACTTTTACAAACATGTGTTGACATCCACATTATTTTTTTGCTGATTTTCCATAGATTCATATTCATCTTTGTTGAGCAGCACATGGTTTCCTTTCAGCAAGTCATGTGGTCAATTTAACAAAGTATAAAACTTCAATATAAAATTTAAGAAATGAAACTACAATATTAGCATTTGGTTTGTAACTACTACTGCAGTAATGGCAGGAGTTTAATTCAATATGGGACAAATGTTCACTTCAACTGTAAATGAACACTGCATGCACGATGGATTGCATGTTGTGAAGCGCGTTGGCGCCGTGAGTTAGAGCGTATACCTGGCTGCCGATGATGTTCCAGGAGATGCTGGGCAGCGGATGGCCCTGAGCCTCGCAGCTCAGGTTCACCACCCGGCCTGTTGCCTCCTCCATCTGCACCTCCTGATCCATGCCCACCAGCTGGGGACCACCTACATACACACACACACACACACACACACAGTATTCAATGTGTCTGCCATTAACAAGCCTGCTCTGCTCCCGATCTGTTTTAACTTGCTGTTACTAGAAACTCAACACCGCCTCCATGTTTACCTGTTGACTTGATAGATTCAAGATCATGTACATGCACTAATTCCACCAGTACAGCAGCAGAGTCACGTCATGCTCACCCCTGCTGCTGCTCTGAGGTTTAACAGAAATACTGAGCTACTGTCAATGCAACTCAACACTTCCTGCACAGATGTTACACATTAAAGGTCCTCCTGCAGCCTGAAATGGCACGATCCACCTCTTTCCTGATGGGTTTTTAATGTGAGAAGAAGAAGAGGAAGGCCGCACTCATTACTCAACTCCTTTTTTACCTCAAGTTCTAAAGATCAACATTTCAGCACACCGCCTTCTTTTAAATAAAGCCCAACAGGTACCTGGCTGACATTTACAGTAACTAGCACAGGTGTTTCAAATCAGAGTTCTCAAGGTCATTAACTTGGAGGAAACAGAAATAGAGTTTGTAGATAGGCTATTCATTAAAAAGTCACACAACAAAAACAATAAAGTAGAACTTTTTTTGTGCATTAGAAATACAAAGAAAATGGATGTAAAAATTACCTAATGACAAAATTATTTGTTTAACTTTGTTTAATGTTGAAAGGGCGTCAAAGTGTCTGTACTGTTTGGAAACTTCTCCTAGCGTCACAAGTCAAGAGAAGTTGGTGAGTTGGTGGGGGGGGGCGACTGACCTTGGACGATGATGTGAACGGAGCCGCTGGTGTGCAGGGCGGGCAGGGAGGGAACGGTCACCTCACATATGTACTCTCCTGTTGTTTCGTAGGTGACGTCCTGCAGGTGCAACGTGTTCCCCTTACCCACCTGCTTCCCATCCTACACACACAAACAATTAGAAGAATTGTACCGTTTTCTATAGTAAAAAAGGGTATTGTACTGCACTGAAACGTGTTTGTATGATATATATTAAGCTTTCAGCTAGTCTCAACATTTTTCTATCCTCTCACTGCCTGCTCCTTGTAAGATTTTGAAGCTGATGTAGTGTAATCTGTGCTGAAGTCTGAAGTGTACGTACCTTGTACCAGACAGTGGATGTTTTCAGGGAGGACAGAGCGTTGCAGGTTGCGGTCAGATCCTCTCCTTTGAGCATGAACTCCGAGTCTTTAGGAACCACCACGGCTGGGTCCAAATCTGCAGACGACAAACACAGAGAAAACATGACACAGAAGACGGCGTCACAAGGTTGGGTGGAATGAATTCAAAGGTGAAAGGAACAGTTCGTATTTCTGTCTGAGACTGAGGTGATCAATATGAATCTCATGTCAGTGCATTAAATGTGGAGCAGACTTTCTCAACACAGATCTGAAGCAGGGGAAAACAGCTCGCCCAATATATGTTATGTTTTACATGTATGTGTTTGTGTGTAAGTTTCTGCAGGTGTGGTCGGTCCTCACAGTGCACAGTGAGCTGCATTTCTCCTTTGACCTCGGTGTATCCGTCGGAGTCCAGAGGGCGACACTGGTAGATGCCGCTGTCTTTCCGCGACACCGGTGCCAGGATCAACACGTCACCTCTACTCTCCAGGTCAACGTCCGGCTCCTGCAACACATACTGTGTCTGTGACCTGGTTCCATACTGTGAGCATGTTAAAGCGATGAGGAAAGTGAGCTACGTTAGCATAACTTTAGCATTACATTAAAAAAAGGTGACTGAGTTCCTTCAGTTTTGTGGAGAGAGTGTTTGTGGGTGGAAAACAGCTGATGAATCAAACCTGCCCACCCGTGCATCATGTAATCTTTGGAGTTCTCTTAGAGAGCGATCAAACACGGTGAAAATCCTGCTTTGGTTGCCAGCCTAAAATCATAGTTTTCCCAAATGATGCATGATTTCATCACTTTCAACTTTAAAAATAAAAAGCTGATGACATCTGAAATTTATTGCCAGAAGCTGATGTCGGTTTCAGGAATTATTTTTTTTTCTTTTCAGTCTTCTATTACTAGTTTCGGCCATCATGGCAACACAGCTGAGATGTGGGGACACAGCTCCAGAAGCAGCCACAATTTACATCAGAATCCATTAGGGCAGCAACCACAAGCTGTCAGACTCTGAGACCGTGTTTAAGCAAGCCCTAAATATTTAAGCCTAATATCTAAATCTGCTTACTTTAAAGTAACAATGAAGCACACAACATGTGTGTTACGCTGTTCACTGATCTGTAAAAACTGTGAGTCTGTGCAACTATGGTGAGTATGTTTGGACAAAACTGAGCCTAGTGGGCATAAACAACTGACAGTGTGAGCGATAACATTTGACTGGTTCATCCATTTCACTGTCCCTTGGTCCAGAGTGAAATATCTTGACAGCTACAGGATGGACTGTCATAAAACCGACTGTAGTCGTAAATCTTCTCCACAACATCAACTGTAATAACCTCCCATAGCCTGATACTGTATATACACAATGTCTCAAAATGTAATTGGTGGCATGACAGTGGAGGACACAGACATAGAAATAAAAGCACATTCACTGATTGACCTGAAGATTAATGAGCAGATTATTATTGATCAATGAGGGGAAAGGACTCACACAAAGCTGAGGAGCAAAATCCCAACTCTGTATCCCAACAATACAGAGTCAGGCTAACCTTTTTTTTTGAGTGAACAAAGAAACGAAGAAATAAACATATTGGTTGATAACACAAGAAACCTAAATATACCTCCAGACACAAACCACATACAGCCCCGGACCTCTTTAAGCATTACACAGGATGAGGAGAACAGTGGGCCTCTTCACCGAGTAACAAGAGCACATTCATTTCTAATAACACACTCAATATCATAAGAGAAACACGAGTGCGTAAGTGATTTACTGAATTTACTTTCACATTTTGGTATTAAACCATTTAATCTTCTATTGCTTTCACACACCCTCTAGTGCCACTCTCAGGTCAAATAATAATGCAACATTTTCAGCTAGCAACCTTGCCAACTCTCAGTTCGCAAAATAGTTGCTAAAGGGACAATAAATTCAGTTTATTCAAAATGTGTTTGCATCATAACTGCAAATGATTTGTTTTGTGGAGCAGTTAAAAGTGGATAATGCAGCACATGAAGAACAGGAAGTAATGATCTTATAACAGCAAAATTGGCTCTTCCTTTTCATCCATATAACAATTGTGTTTTCTTTTGCGTAATGAGCCTGGCAGATTGAGTCCTGACAGACGTTTTGTCTGGTTAAAGCAGTGTCTAGCAGAGTAACTGTCTCCAGAGCTCAATTAATTTTATTTTGAGAGAGTAAAATATTGCATCATAACACACAAAAAAAAAAAAACACAAGAAAGAACAAACACATTTTTTCTTCATCGTCTTTCACCATAAAAATTACACTTTAAACTCTAAATCCGTCGTTCCAACAACCACAAACCAAACGTCCATGACTGCCCAGTTATGAAAAGTTAAAACGGCGGTCAGCTGAGTTTTTTGTATTGTCTGCAGATACAATGGATGTGTGTCTGACATGGGAATGAGTCCTACCCATGAGCCCCGTCAGTGTGGCCTCCGGTCTCGGACCCCAGCCTGGATCTGCAGGGTCAGAGCTGACAGAGCCTTCACAGACCTTGCACACTCATGTCTACATGGGGCCCTGTGAGCTCTGCATATCAAAAACATTCCCTACATGTCTCCTGTGTGTCACCCATTCTCTCTTGGGGAGTTTTAGGGTGAGAAAAGACCCTCCATTCTTACTTGTTCTCTGCTGAAAATGAAGGGCGGCGGGGGGTTGCCATCACCCTGGCAACGCAGCTCCACAGTATCCCCCTCTTTGACCAAGCCCTGGGGCGACTCCTTCCACAGCTCCACCATGGTGGTGGGGTCTAAACACACACACACACACACACACACACACACACACACACACACAAAATGAAATTAAGCAGGCTTATTCAGCGAGCTGCTAAAGTCACTTTAACAAGGCCATTTCCACAGCGCTGACAGCACAGACTGAGTTTGGCTCTGCCTGCCACAGCGTCCCTACAAAACTGTTTCAAACAACAATGGGCCAACAGAGGAGAGAGGAAATAATGTGGCTGTTAAAATGCTTTTGGATGATGGGAATTTAAATTAATATGTCATTACTGAGTATTTCAGGGTTTAAAGAGGTATTCGTGCGATTTAGCTTTGCATTTCCTTAGAAATTAAAGAAATGCAAGCAGCAAAGACCAGGATAACCCGACAATCATCAAGCTCCAAAAATGCTTTTATTCTGACCACAGAAAGCTCCTCCACAGCATTAAAAGACTTACTAAATTGCTCTTCATGAGTAAAATTGGTGGAATTCCCCTTTAAAAGACAATCTGTTGTTTCTGTAATTGCTTAAGAAGGAAAATAATCTATTTTAAAATTACAATACTGTAGAGATTTTCCTCCATGACAACAGGACACAGGCGTCGAAGTTGGAGGGCAGAAAATTAGCTGAATAAATAAGAATATAATAAATAAGCTGAGCTGTGAACCTCTAACATGACGCTGCGTCTTCTCAAGTGTTACACAGACATTAAAAAGTTATCATCAAGACTCTTATGGATGCGTGGGTTGCAGTGTTCCTGATGCGGCTCATGAATATTCCAATAACAGCTTGCAGGTTTGACCAATGCATTAGCATCTGCTACAGTCAACTGAAACACAGATGACTTCCAGCAACAGTCACGCAATGATGTGCAACAAAACACAGAGGACTGGATTCAATACAAATCAACAGTCTCTACACAACACATGTAAAAATAATATACAGAAAATAAAAAAATCACAACAGCAAGTATAAAACAAATCGATAGAATTAAGATAAAAACAGGATTAAATTCCAAAGTCACTATAAATGAATGAGAGAAACATGACTTACTACAGTATTGTTTTAAAATATTACAAATTAGAAATAAACAAATTACAGAGAGTACAATGTTTAACCTGAAGGTTTCCAATGGAGAGTAAAATTATATTTTTAACATTCCTTTTATATTCCTTATATCTATAAATATTTTCCCTGTTTCATTTTCATTTCTTCTGCAAGAAGATGTGAAATTAGAACAGACAACTTCAGAAACAAATGTCTGTAGTCTGTCTTGACTTCAGACTTCACTGTAAATTATCAGGTTGCTCAAGTAAGCATATTTTAATCTGGTTTGTTGGAGGACTGCTGAAAAAAATCTATTCGTCTTAACCCAGGGAGAGCACGGAGAAAATAAGTTTGCGTCTATGTCTCTTAAACCTTAACCTAGCACAATCAAAAGAAAAGAATTTGTAAGTAAAAGCCTGAGTGGTTGCTGTAATTTTATGTGGCCTCACAGCAGAGGAAACAGTGAACTGACCGAACTGAGGTTGGACTTCCCAAAGATGACAGGGCTTTGGAGGAATTGTGTTACTCACAGTGAACAGTGACGTTGACGCTGTTGGACTCGACTGTCCTGATGGCTCCCGGGACAAAGAAGCTGACCTCACAGGAGAAATGGGCGTCCTTGTCCTCCTTGACCACCTTGTACTCCAGTGTGCTCTGGACGGAGTAGAAGCCACTGGACTCCCGGGTCACCAGGATCAACACGTTTACATCTGAAGTGTGTACATCAGTATGTTTACAATAAAAACATGTTTAGCAGGTAATATATACTACAGCTGCCATTTTAGCTTAGCAGGTTAGCTTACTAACATTTACTACTTAGCATTAAACACAAAGTACAGCAAAATGTATTAAGATTCATCCTGTGGAGAATATGAACAAATGTACCAAATCTCATATAATCTGTGTGAACCAACTGACAGATATCCCCAGAGCCAAACCGCTAACATGGCTAAAAACATCCCAGGTTTCTGAGATGCTTTTGGTTTTTACAGTTTTGTGTATAGAGAAAAGATTTCCCTGCTCCAAAGCTGTATGAATGAGCAGAACCCTGAATTACAATAGGGAAAAGTCACGGCCTTTAATTAAACCAGGGGAAAGACAGGGCTGCTACCTGGCAGACCCTGTGACACCGACACAGCGGGTCCATCTACTGTTTGCACTTACGTCCTGGTGAGGACATCAGTGGCAGGCCGTTTCTGTACCAGGTGATGTTGGGTTTAGGGAAGCCGTTCTGAGCCTCACATGACGCAACCTGGACAGAGAGTCACAATGACAAATCTTCAGCGGAGCACGGGAAACTCAAATATTGACAAAAACAAAAGACTTTACATCCTGAAGATTATTGTACCGCTCGCTCTCAGCATCTAAGACTAAGTGGACTCACCTTAGACGGCACCTCGTTGGTCACAGATATTCCAGTAGGGACACCCTCGATCACTGGAGCGTCTGGAGGAGCTGAATGAGGAAAATCATCACTTCAGTTTCATGAAACAAAGATAAATCTTTATGACATTCTTAAGATTTTATTCTACTTTTCTTTCTTTTTTTTTTGGTGACTTCCTTACCAAACACCCTGAGGTGGGTCTTGCCCTCAGCACTCCCGGCAGCCAGCCCATTAACCTGGCAGAAGAACTCCCTCTCGTCAGAGATCTGGACGTCCTGGATGGTCAGTTGAATTCCCTGCTGATCCGAAGTCACCTGGATGCGACCGCTGTATTCTGTGTTGTTGTCCACCACCTGCTGATTGCTGTCGCCGTAGAAGATCCGCTTCCGGGAGCTGCTACTGATCGCTCTCTGCGAGAAAACACACAGTCAAGGCACACTTCACCTTACACTCAGCATCTCAGATAAACAGCATTTTAAGGTTAAATCAGTGGTTGATATTGGCCAGTGTTGCCTCAAGGCATGATGGGTAAAACATGTGTCCAGCTGGTTTCTCTCTAACTGACTGAAGCTTGGTGTCGGACAGGCAGAGCATCAGATGGATCCTGATGCGTCTCGTCTGTGTCAATGTTATGACAACAGGCAGTTTTTAATTTTGAATAATGGTTTAAATAAAGTTCTAGATTTCAATAGTTTCCTATGATGGAATGATGTTCCAGGCAGAGTTGAGGCACATTACCCCCCCCCATCAGGATTAGACACTAGACATTAGACTCAAATGTTTCCTTATACATTTTTATCAGCTGTTGGAGCTTAACTATTCTTACATATATAAACATGAGTTGTACACAGTTTATAAGTGATATCCATATCATGGATTTAGAAATGTAAATGTTTGTGTCTCGTGATCTGTTATTAAGAGCCATGAGAATCTTTAAAAAGCACAAACTTGTCAGTGATCATGTAAAGAGCAAGTCTGAGAAAGCAGGAAATACGAAATGCCTTTTTCACACACTGATTTATAATCATGTTCGTCTATTAATAACCGCAGATGACCTTGACATCCCTTGTGTGCGCTGGAATTCCTACTGATCATATTCCTACTGACTAAGTCTCTACATTATTCCTGCTCAGCACCCTGGTAGATGAATGAGCCTGTAGCCTATAACTTTTAAAAAAAAAAAAAAAAAAAAAAAAGGGTTAGTGAGCATCCATGTCGAAGAAAATCATCTTAAAATCTTTAAATCATCTTAAAATTAACAAAGGAGAGAGTCTAGGTTTGTAGGTCTCAGCGTTTACCCTCTTATTTCTTCTGTTTGGACAGATGAAATGTGGTGCTTCAACTAGAAAATGAGCTGGGGTTGATGATTCAAATTATTGAGGAGGGTGGGGGCAGCCCTACCCAGTACATGAGCAGTTGGATAGACAGTGTCAGTTTTCCACAGTGGGTCCAGCAGTACTCACCACAAACCACTGGATCATGACAAAGCTGGGCTCATTGTTGGCGTCAGTGAAGCTGTACTGGCAGGGGATCTGAGCCGAGTCACCCAGGTACGCCTCAACACTCTCATGCATCGTCAGCTCCACCTTGGCCCAGGCTGAAAAACACAGAGACATGCACATAAATCAACTCCATGCTTTCTGCGGGTGCTGCACCCTGGGCCCCGTATTATACATGAACCATTCAAAACAGTAACAAACTCCAAATAAAAAATGGAATTCACTGTGACTTGAACCCAACATCGTTTCTTTATATCCAACTTTAATTTCGACTCAATCCTAATCTAATTCTAAACTGCCCTGTGTTTGGCAAATGAATGACTTGTCTTCCCAGACAAACCTGGAGCCAGTCGGCCATGTTAGCAGAACACAGAAGAAAAGGCTTCTTGTCCGCATAGCATAATGTTCATCCCCTTCTGCCTGGCTGACTGTAACCACAAAACCACATCTTGGCCAGAAAACCAGTTCCCTAGGCATCATCGAGAGAATGCAGGCATAGGAAGGCTAGCCAGTTTGACACTGGGCTGTTGAGTCAGACAGCCAAGAGCTTTCTTAGCCATGTTGGACTTGGCTGCTGTTATAAAGGGGCCAGCTCACACAGTGACAAAAGAAAACAAGATGGCACGAAAAAGTCCATTTTCCCTGTTTAATCTGGTTCGGAGTTGGTATGCAAGATGATAAAGGGTACGCCTGCCCCCCCCCCCTACACTGCCAGGTGTCACTGTCACTGATGTTCAGTGGATTTAATCTGTCATGTGTTGTTTTTAACTATTTTAGAGCAGTCTCACACACATCTGCTTACTCTCACCACTTGATTTGTCTGCCGGACTTTTATTCATGAGCACAGCAAAGTACAGAAGTATCTCTGTATCTGTCTGTTGCTTAAAAGTTGTGGCTCCTTTCCTTCAGTCATATCACTTGCGTAAACCTCGGCTGAGGCTGAAGACTGATCAGATCTCTGCAGCCCGCTCTTCCATCTCTGCTTGAGGCTAGCAGCTTGAGGCTATATTAGCTGCTGTTAGCGTAACATTCCCAAATCTCTGATCAAACTGTAAGTGGTCGAGTTGCATTGTGGGAATGTACGCACCAGTTTTTGACAAGAAAAAAAGACAATATCTCTGGTTCTGCTGCATTAATTTTGATCCTTCTTTTAACTGCCCACTGTGAGTACCAGTGTTATAGAGGTGCAATGCGACATACATGGAGCACTCTTCTACAGAAATGAATGTACTTGGTTCCTTTATACTCATGAACTCTACAGAATAAAGAACATGATACAAAACACAAAAGTGAGAAACAAGCTTTATTGTCTTGAGGCAGAAATATTCATATTTTTTTCATTTGTATTGTGTTTTCTGTTATTAGTATAAGCCAAAGTCTTGGGGCACTGTGCCGCTGTATTATGTGGGAAAATATACATTTAGTATTGTCTAATACGCCGAGGCAAGAAAAAAAACAAACAAAACACACCCAGGGACATTCCAGTTGTTGTTTTCGACAATTTAATGCTTTTCAAAAATAAAGGAAAACAATTAGCAAGAGCCAGACCTCAGTGTCCTCGTATGTGTTTTCAGCGTTGGTTGAAACAGACCATGCATGAAAAAAAGCTTTAAGAGTCCAGTTGCCACCCTGCTGCCCCCATTCAACCGGCTGCTCCCCCATCACCATCACCCCCCCCCCTCCGCCCACCAAGCACCAATCATTTTCACAACTCATTTTTTTTCTGGCTGTCCCTCCCTCCTCTGCCTGGGCCTATGCTCAGCCAACCATTCCCTTTGTAAGACAACCGGCGCGCCATTGTTCCCCACCTGGTGATCAGACCCCCCCCCCACACACACACACCACCCCCCACCCCACCACCCCCCACCCACACACCTCCACCCGACCACCAGTCAGCCCAAAGATGCCATTTCATCCCCAGAGCTTAAAAACTGTTACTTCCTGGAATATCTATGACCAAAAGTTAGAAACAGTTCATCATGTACTGAGGTTGTTGTTTACTACGACAAAGATAATGTGAGACGGCGTTGAGACAAGAAGCAGATTATGGAGACTGGAGAGCAAAATATGTCACAGAAGTCAGTGCAAAACTGTTTTGTCTCTTTGGGGCCGTGCTGCTAACTTTTCAGCTAATCCGATTAGCACTGGGGGGCTGCTGGGGATTTGGCTTCCAAAGCCAACCTGGGACCGGTCTTATCTGTTCCTGTTGTGACTTTATGCTGCATGGACTAAAGCACAAACACACACGACCCATGATCTATGGACCCTGACAACCAAAACTGCTGCCTGTGGGTGTGTGTGTGTGTGCATACATTCGTGGCTGTCTGCTGTCTGTGTCTGGATGATACAGAGCTAATTCATTCTGAATATTTGAATGTGTTGACAGGATCAGGCTTGTGACTGGACAGGACCCCAAATGACCTGTCAGAGGGATGAACAACAGAAGGGGACAGAGAGACTTTCCCAGCTCAACAACAAACACAATTACGTCTCAAATGGCAGATTAACTTCTCCACTAGAGGTAGATTTCGTCACAAAACGCTGGTTGTCTATTATTCAGTCTTTATTATGTCATTCTTAAAATAACAGGATTACAGCAATTAAATTAAACCATCCTGAAAATCACTGTCATGATATGGTTCATGCGAGTGTTTGAATGCTCTCCTTCCCTACATCCTCTCCTTTGTGATCCAGAAACTGATTTCAGTGCTGCCATCGCTGCACTGGTGTCAATACAATATCTTTTATAATTTTATGCAAAATCCCTTTCTTCACCTGAAGCCAAACTTGTCAAATGATAAATCTTGATTTCTGAACACAAGCGGAAAACACAAATAACAGAAACTGCCAAAATTATAATTTAAATAAAAACTGCCGTAACTTAAACATTTTCAGAGTTTAATGGTGCTGGTCCAAAAGGCACAGAAATAGCAAAAAAGTCATCAGCACTCACATTATATTGTATAATACTTTTTTAAAAGCTAATGCAGCAGGAAGAAACCTGCGGGTCTCTAGCTGCTATTTAACAAGGGTCACACCCACATGGTCTCAGAAAAGCTGAAGAAAGCCTTGGGCTGAAACACGTCCATTTCTTCCTAGTGCCATCAGTAGCTCAAAATGTTCACTTCTCCTCTCACTGTGTCTTCGTTGAATTGGCACAAAACTGTGTACAGACTCTCATGGTTCTCAGAGGACGTGTCCCAACTTGCTGACTTTGCTGATCTTCAGTTATTTGTTGTTTTAAATGAAATGTCTTGACAACTACTGGATGGAAAGTCATAAAATCTGGCGTACACATTCATGTTCTTCGTCTCTGCTTGGCTGTTGGACTGACGTTATGATCAGGCCACTTCTCATGTAATGGACGCTGACTTTTTGTCACAAAGTAAAAACCCAGCTTCCCCATTTCTGTTCCCTTCCGTCTCCTTCTTTCCTTTCCTCACATCTCCTTGGTTCCTGGAAGGAGACAAATAGTACTGCCGGATGAGAGGAAACGAGGACGAGCAAATGCCAAATGTAACACAACCTGCCTCCAAATTAAGACCACATTTCCCATAAATACCAGTGGACAGAGACCGCAGTCCACAGAAGCACAGACGCACAGCGGCTGAATGCATGTCTGCATGACAGACCTCACCTGGTGCCACAAATACAATATCAGGAATGATTAGAGATTACTGTGAAATAAATGTTATGCAACAACTCGAGAACATTTACAGAGAAGGCTGAGTGTGTTATAGGGGAAACAGACAGAATTAAGAGCACAAAGAAATGACAAATACGTTGTTTTTTGTCCTTTCATTCAAAGGCAAACACAGACAGACTCACACAGTACTTTCACAATACAAATCAGACAAACAGGCATAATGAGGGGGCTACTTCCAGGACAGCCTCTGCATACAGTAGCTCATTATGTGCCTAACAGGCAGACAATACCCTCAGACGCTAACTAAAGTGGTCACCATTATTGGCTTCCCCATTTGATTAAGGTTGTCAGCTTAGGCCTGCAGTAGATCTGCAGCTCTGCCACTGATAAGAGTCCAAATCACCTCTGACACAACAACCCGGCCTCATTTACTTACCCTAATCCTTCACATGGCTGATGAACCATGAAATGAGACTGAATGCCTCTAAGAACATGAAAACGTCCAGTTATAAGTGTTCTGTAAACCCCCGTGTTCACCGGGGCATGTCAGGCTGATTTTTGAGGAGATGTGTAGAAAACAATAAAAAGACTGGAATATTAATAAAAACGTGGTGTCTTCGGTTTGAATATTAAAATATGAAGATCAAAGACATTTTGGAACAAGCATATACAGTGGGGTCTGACACCACTTTCCAATTCAAGTGAATGGAAATTACATATTATGCATATGCAATGTCATACATTTTATTCCACATACATTTTGGAAAAAGAAAATCTGCTTTTTTGAAGCTACTTCTGAGAAAATGTAAGAACTGATCGGTGTTTCAGAGTTTTTCAGGACTCCCTGAATAAAAGTTGTGTGCAGACACTGAGGGTCCCTCAGAGGATGGAGGGTGTAAAAAGCTAGCATGTAAGTGTGGATGACAGGGAGGAGGATTTCTCAATACGCAACCCTGGTGTGGTGTCGAACACCTGGGGGACACAGTGTACTGCCTGACATCAAAGACAGCACACACACACACACACACACACACACACACACACACACACACACACACACACACACACACACACACACACACTCGCACAGTGAAAGCACACAGCCCTACAGTGGAGATGAGAGCTCCTTGTCCTACTGATGTGGCAATGGTTTCAGAAGCAGCATCTGGCACAAATCTCCCAGCAGCCTGTTCCCTGAGTGACAGGGAGTGGCAGTGAAGGGCCCGGCCTTTATTCTTTCACATAGAGAAATAAGGAAGTGCTGGAAATCTCCTCAAAGGCATCTTATGCATCAGTAACCCCCCCTCCCTTTTTTTTTTCTTTCATGCAGTGGAGCATGTAGCAGCTCCAGGTCAGGAAATGTATGGGGCTGATACTGACCTTTAGTGGGAAGATTTTGCAATGTACAAACTTACTGCAGGGCAGTAGTCAAACCTCTTGCACCTGGTTTGTATTTTTCTGGCTCCAAATA